CCATCCTCCAAACCCACAGCAAACAAACTAACTCTTGAAAGCTGGCTTCAGACCTCCATGTATGTGCCTGCACTCACAGACACAATTACACAATAATAATTTAAAATTATGCTAAAAATTATTTTTTAAATTTATTTTATGTGTATGAGTGTAGTGCCTGCATGTATGTGAGTGCACCAGTGTCATGGCTAACATAGAGGGCTTCGGATTCCCCTGGAACTGGAGTTAAGGATGGTTCATAGCTGCCGTGTAGGTGATGGAAATTGAACCCGGGTCCTCTGCAAGAGCAGTGCTCTTAACTGCTGAGACATCCCTCCAGCCCCCCAAAATAATATTTAAAAAAAAAATAGTAAACCCTAAAGCAAGGAAAAATAATAAAGATTAGAGCAGAAATTTAAAAAGGATAGAAAAATAGGGAACAATCAATGAAATTGAAAGTTCTTTGAAAAGATCAACAAAATTGAAAACCTTTGACTAGACTGCTCAAGGAAAAGGCAAAAGGCTCAAACTACTAAAATCAAAAGTCAAAGAAGGGGTCTTATCACCAACTTTACAAACTATTCCAAAAAGACAGAAGAAACATTCTACTAACCCAGCATTATCCTCACATCAAAACAAAAAACGATGTAAGAAAACAAAGCCATGGCCAACAAAAACCCCTGATGAATACAAAAGCAAAACTTCCTCAGCAAAATGCTAGCAAACCAAATCCAGCAACATATAAAAAGGATTATATAACATGACAAATTGTGATTTATACCAGGAATGCAAGGTTAGTTCAACATAAAGTAATCTAGTTGACATGCCATTTTTTTTTTTTTTTTTTTTGAAGCAGGGTCTCCCTGTAGCCCCAGCTGTCCTGGAACTCACTATGTAGACCAGGCTGGCCTTGAACTCACAGAGATCCGCCTGCCTCTGCCTCCCAAGTGTGACATGCCTTATTAATAAATGAAACAGAAGTTGCCAGGTTTGGTTCCCAGCACCCATATGGTGGCTAATAACTGTAACTCCAGTTCCAGGGGATCCAGTGCCCTCTTCTGGCCTCTGTGGACATTGCATAGCTTGGGTGCACTTACATACACATAAGCAAAACACTCATATACATTAAAAAAATTAATTTTTAAAATTATTTTTATGTGTATGAGTGTATTACTTGCATGTAAGTGCACCTCTGTCATGAAATGCCCCCAGATGTCAAAGAGGGCCTCATATTCACCTGGAACTGAAGTTACAGTTGTTAGTTGCCATGTGGGTGCTGGGAATTGAACCCGGGTCTCTGAAAGAGAGCCAGTGCTCTTAACCTCTAAGACATCTCTCCAGTTCCCCAAACTTTTTAAATTCAATATCCATACATGATTTTAAAAACTCAAAAAACTAAGAACACCAGGGAATTTCCTGAAACTGATAAAGAGAATCTGTGAAAAATCCAAAGCTAGTGTCATGCCTAGAGTCAAAACAGAAAGCTTTTCCTCTGAAATCAGGAATAAGGCAAAGACATGTGCTCTTACCACTTCTGCTCAGTACTGTATTTGAGGTTTTAACCAGGGCAAAGAGGAGGGAAAAGGCACTCAGGTTAAAAGGAATCAAACCATTTGCAGCAGATGACATATTCAGAAATTTTTTTAGGCACTCAGCATGCACAGACATTCCAGAGCTAATAAGTTTACAAGGTTGTAAGACACAAGATTGGTATACAAAAAGAAATTGTATTTCAGTGTATTAGCAATGAACAATATAAAATGAAATTACACATATATACACACACACACACACACACACACATCTGACAGAGGATTAGTGTTCTCTCAACTCTCATCAAGGAAGCTTCTTGCAGCAGATGGTGATTAACAGAGACCCACAACTGGTCAACAAGCATCAAATAAGACTGCAGAGTGTGCACACCTAAATGGGACACCTATATCACATCTTCTAAGGCTCAGGGATCACTGTGGACAAGCAGGTAGAATATAAGAGCCAGAAGTGGTGGATGAATACAAGGAAACCATGGGGTGGGGGACAAGAAGCTCCCAACCCTGAGGAATCAGTGGTAACTGATAGCTGCTGGGAGAGGAAGAGTCAGTTTTCTTAAGGGTGTGACTCCATGTATGTTGACCAGGCTCCAGGGGATGGACCTACACCCAAGAGCATTTGAAGAACAAAAATTAGACTTGACAGGACTTTAAAAATAATAATAGGGGCCATGAAGAAGGGGGTAGTAGGGTAGAGGAGTTAGGGAGGTAGGGGTGGGAGTCTGAATATGATCAAAATACACTGTATAAAATTCTCAAAGACTGGTTGGGCATGGTGGCACACGCCTTTAATCCCAGCACTTGGGAGGCAGAGGCAGATGGATCTCTGTGCCTTCAAGGCCAGCCTTGTCTACATAGTGAGTTGCAGGTCAGCCTGGACTACATAGTGAGACCCTTTCTCAAAGGGAGGAAAAAAAATCTCACCTGCCCTTTTTTTTCCCCCAGAAAACAAAAACTAACATCTATTAGCAATAGCAGTTGCTCATCCTCCTGATGTCTAGCAACCACCTAACTTCCTTTCTCTGTGGATCTGCCTGTTCTGACATTTTAGAATTTGTACACAACTTGTACATACACCAAAACAACTGAATTATACCAGAAGGGTGAATTTTATGGGCTATGGATTATATTCCAACTTAAAAAAAATGAACGTGTATGTGAGCGAGCGCAGGCATGTGTGTGGTCTGATGGATGTGTGGTGGTCAGAGAACAACTCTGACAAGTTGGTTCCCTCCTCCCACTTGGTTGAGGCCGGGTTCTGCTATTGTTTCTGCTACTCCTCTAATCCAAGCTGGCTCATGCCAGCTAGGTAATTTTCTTGTCTCCACCTTACATCTGGCCATAGGCATTCGAGGATTAGTTGTGGGTTCCAGAGATTAAACTCAGGCCCTCAGGCTTGTACAACAAACACTTTTACTCAGTAAGCATCTTGCAGGTTCTTATATTCTAATTAAAAAAAAAAAAAAACACCCAAAACAAAAACAAACAAAACCCAAAGCCCCTCACTACAAATCTACAAACAAAAGCCCCCCATTAAAAATGGCTTTTTTTTTTTTTTTATTAAAAAAAAAAAAAAAAAAAAAAAAAAAAAAAACACCCAAAACAAAAACAAACAAAACCCAAAGCCCCTCACTACAAATCTACAAACAAAAGCCCCCCATTAAAAATGGCTTTTTTTTTTTTTTCGGTCTTTTTGAAACAGGGTCTCCCTGTAGCCCCAGCTGTCCTGGAACTCACTATATAGAAAGGCTGGCCTTGAACTCACAGAGGTCCACCTGCCTCTGCCTCCCGAGTGCTGGGACTGCAGGCGTGTGCCATCACACCCAGCAAAAAAATGGCATTTCTTACAGTTTCCAAATGAATATTGTTTTTTTCTGTATTCTAAACTGTTTCTAAACTAGATGATTTAGATTCCTCTTTGAATGGGTCATTTACTAAATCACAGGCACTTGCCCTGCATAACTGGTGGCAAAGCTAATTTGAACACAGCTGTTGCTATGACTTTCGGCAATTATTCAACAGGGGCTTCACATATAAATATGAAACAAAAAATGGATTTGTGAATGATTAGAATAAGAGGTATTCAGGGATGGAGAGATGGCTCAGTGGTTAAGAGCACTGGCAGCTTTTGCAGAGGACCCAGGTTTGAGTTCTAGCACCCACATGGCAGCTAACAACCATCCATAACTCCAGTTCCAGGGGATCAGACGCCCTCTTCTAACTTCTCCGGGCATTGCACAACATGGGTACAGTTACATACATGCAGGAAATACATTCATTCACATAAAATAAAAATAATAAATAGCATAAGAGGTATTGACAAATTGGCATCCCTATTTCAGAGATTCAGGTTTGAATTTTTAGTACCACAGTTCCAGCAATATGGCATTTGGAAATTCTGCAGACCTCCTTATCTTGGGGTTGCACACAGCCTGGTATTGGGCCACAGCCTGATATTGCCCTACTGAAGGCAGAAGGAAAAATTGAGATTGCCCTTGTGTATGTGTGTAAGATTAGTGATAGAACAGAGGTAGAGCTTCCAACAGTTTGTTCATCCCCTCAAACACACCCTGTATTCTAGAAGGAATGCCAGACTCCATGTTCAATGTTACTGCCGCCTAGTCTGGAATGGATGAAGTATATATAATTAGAAGAACATCAGTCAGAAAAAGTGAATTTTATTTCAAAGCCAAAAAGAACAGAAAAGAATTGAGTGGCTGAGGATACGGCTCATTAGTAAGAATATTTGTTTTTTTTAAAAGTATTTTATTATTTTTATTTTATGTGTATGAGCGTATTGCCTGCAGGTATGTAAGTGCACCTGTGTCGTGCAATGCCAGTGGAGGTCAGAAGGCTTTGGATCCCCAGGAACTGAAGCTATAGATGGTTGTTAGCTGCCATGTGGATGCTGGGAACCAAACCTGGGTCTTACACAAGAGCAGTCAGTGCTCTTAACCACTGAGCAGTCTCTCCAGCCCCCAAGGGTGCTTGTTTATAATGCACACAGCCCTGGGTTTGATCTCTAAGTCCACCAAAAAAGAAAGGAAAAAAGAAATTGAGGTGTTGAGGAAATAAAATGAGGTAGCTATAATGGGGGCAATTATATAAATTCCATCAGAGTGACCAGATCACCTAAATGCCATCTCTTTGAGCTCGACGGTGGCATTCCTATAAGAAATGGGGCTTGGTTTGGTGCCATCACAGCAGGGTGCCCTAGGGATAGTCCCCTTCAGAAGAGAAAGGGTCACTCATGTGTCTTCATGCTCCGTTAGCACTGCTACAAAGAGACCAGTAACAGCAAATTCTTCCAGGTGCATCGTGTTTTACTGACTGAAAAAACATTCTCATATCCATCGCTCAAATCCAGCTGTCTCCTTGCAGCTACCAAAAAGCCAGCCTCTCCCAGTTCCCACTTGTCCTCAAGTTCATCACATAGTTATGCCCCTTCCCCCAAGCCTGCAGGCCACATACCTGAGTGTACTTGCGGAAAAACACCCCTTGAACCTTCCCAAAAATTTCATAATCCACTGAGACCAAGCTGTTCCCTTCCGCCATGCTCAAGCCTGTCAGAAACCAGGAAAGCAGCAATGTGAGGCACTACTCCGGAACCCCCATCCTAAGGAGGGGCTCCCCGACTACCACTGCGACCTCTCCCCGACCTGAGGATCCCCAGACTGCAAAAAGTGCGTGGATATGCGTGGAAACAAGCGTGTCAAGTCGGATAGGGAGGCCCACGCCAGGGGGCTTCGCCTTGCATCACCTGCTCACCCGACTCCCCTTGCAGCCCTGCCGGCACCCCCCGCCCCCGAATCCTCGTCCCACGCGGCCAGCAACCCCCTTCACTGACACTATGCTAGTCCTGGCCCGGGGCACTCGGAGACCTCCTGCGCGTCCACAGACTATCAAACCGCCCCGAGGACACCCCCAAACCAACCGCCCGCGCCGTGCAAACTGCTGCTCCCGGAAGTACAGCTTGCGGCTCCTCCCACGCTGCCCCGCACGCCCATTACCTAGTCTCGACCAATCAGAAGTGGCATCTCGGCCCCGGGGGCGGTGTTTAGGACCAAGCCTTACTGATGCAGAGCGAGCTACGGATTGACCTGACCAATTTGGCTCGGCCTCTACTGACTCAGCCTGCACCCCAACTTGGTCACTAAGGGTACCCCTCTTCTCATTTTCCCGGGAGTGTAGAAAGGCGTGGACGAAACACAGAATATATCCACTCACCCAGTGTCACCCTGACTGCCCCTGTGTGCCGAGCGCTGGGGGCATATATCAGTGAATGGCAGAATTTTGCTCTGCCGGAGTTAAATTCTTAAGGTAGGAAACACGCAATGAACAGTTAGTATCGTAATAAATTGAATAGGATAACTAAAAACTCTCTATTCTGAGTTTTTTCTTTCAGTTCTCTTCCAATTTTGAGTCGTGCATAATGGACTTGGTAACAAGGACTTGGTGAAATTGTGTCACCTGGGCTTTTGGAAGCTACCAACCAGAGTCTACCTTACTAAGAGAATGCTCAAAAAAAAAAAAAAAAAGTTAATAAAAGGGCTGGAGAGATGGCTCAGCGGTTAAGAGCACTGGCTGGTCTTGCAGGAGACCAGAGTTCGAATCCCACACCCTCCTCATGGTGGCTAACAAATATCTGTAACTCCAGTTCCAGGGGATCCAAAGCCCTCTTCGACCTCTGCTGGCGTTGCATGACATGGGTACACTTACCTACATGCAGGCAATAGACTCAGACACATAAAATAAAAACAAATAAAATATTTTTTAAAAATAAAAATAATGCCGGGCGTGGTTGCCCACGCCTGTAGTCCTAGTGCTTGGGAGGCAGAGGCAGGCGGATCTCTGTGAGTTCAAGGCCAGCCTGGTCTACATAGTGAGTTCCAGGACAGCTGGGGCTACAGGGAGATCCTTCTTCAAAATGACCAAATAAATAAATAAATAAATAAAATTTTAAATTTGAAAAAATTAAAAAGTAAATAAAGCACAAGTAAGTACGGCTCCAGAATCTTAATTGAATCAATCATTCTAAACCAAATAACCAAATTGCATGCATTTATTTTGGGAAAAAGTTACCAAAGGTGAGTATGGCCAAACCCAGAATTGACTTAAGTCCTTTGGAATCCAGCTACTTTTAGGAGTAAGACTGTGTATGAAGAAAACTGTATTGTTCCTCTTTGGATTACTTGTATATATTATAGTCATTTCATAACATAAGGCCCCATTTGTGAATATGTTGGGCTGGCAGACTTGGCAAAGTGAGATGGTTTGCAATGGTAGTTATGGAAATCTATCATTACACTAGCTCTCTACTACAGATTCAGACTCATAAAACAGTGCTGGGAGATCAGGGAGCTGGATTGAACGTTGTCCTTGGCAATATTTGAAAACAACACTAAACAGTGTATTTGATGTAATTCCTCTAAAATTCATTCCAAATAAGTTTATCCATAAAACTCAAAACCTATTGAGGATATGGTGTGCAAAGATGAGTGCTATATAATCTTTGCCCTCAAAGAGTTCTTTAGTGTAAGAGATAAATATGCATGCACAAAATGATGAGAAAATGTGCAGCATGATACTTCATTTCACAAACATTCATTGAGAACACATCATGAACCAGACCTGTGTTAAAATAAGGAGAGAAAGTGTTTATGAGGAAGCAAAGAGATTAATTCTAACTGCAAAGAGACTGAGAAAGGGTTTCTGGAGAAAGCAGCATTTTTCCAAAGTCACACAATCACAACCAGTAAGTGATAGAGCCAGGGTTCAGTTTCAGGTATCCAGTCCAGAGTCCACTCCCATAAATACAGTGCTCTACTACTTCCCAGTTTGTGGAACTTGGGATAAGGTAGTATAACCGTGATGAGAAAGTAAAATGGCCAGTTGTGACTAAACCAGGGGCTCTCATTGGCTGCATATTAGGACCTTTGGGGAATCTTCTAAAAATATTGATGCCCAGACCTCATCCCCAAGACATTGCTTTCTACAGCACAACCAAAGTAGAGACCTACTGAGGTAGAGGGTGAGGATTGCTAAAATCAGAATTGACTTAAGTCCTTTGTAATCCAAAACTATAAAGATAGTCTGCATCTACTGTGGGAGACAGAAAATGTCTAAATCATGCATCTCAACTTCACAAAGAAGTCACTAGGGGAGCTGGAGCTCAGTGGTTAAGAGCACTGACTGCTCTTGCAGAGGACCCAGATTTGGTTCCCAGCACCCACATGGCGGCTAACAACCATCCGTAACCCCAGTTTTAGGAGATCCAATGCCCTCTTCTGACCTCTGTTGGCATTGCATGACATGGGTTTACTTACATACATGCAGAGAATACACTCATACACATAAAATTAAAATAATAAAATATTAAAAGAAGTCACTAGGAAATGGAAACAATAGCATCAGAAGCATTTAGTAGATAGCTCTATTTTACAATGTATACTTGCATCAAAACATCACATTGTGCCAGGTGTGGTGGCGAGTGCCTTTAATCCCAGCACTTGGGAGGCAGAGGCAAGTGAATCTCTGTGAGTTCCAGGCCAGCCTTGTCTACATAGTGAGTTCCAGGCCAGCTGTGGCTACAGGGAAACCCTGTCTCAAAAAGACAAAAAAAAATCACATTGTACATTGTAAATATGACTGATTTTGTGCGTCTGTGTGTTCATATGTATGGGGGCATGCATGTTGACACTAGAGGACAACTTCCAGTATCATTCTCAGGTAGAGCTGCCCTTTTTTCTTTGGAGACAGGGTCTCTCATTGACATGGAACTCATTAAGCAGGCTAGGCAAACTGGCCACCCCCTATATACAATATTTTAAAAGATTTTATTCTTTAATTTTTAATTATGTGCACATGTGTGGGTTTGTGCACATGGCTGCAGGTGCCCTTGGAGGCCAAAAGAGGGTGTCAGATCCCTTGAAGCTGGAGTTATAGGCAGTAGTGAGTTTCCTGACATGGGTGCTGGGAACTGAACTTGGGTCCTCTGTAAGAACAGTATGTGCTCTCAACTGCTGAGCCATCTCTCCACCCTCCTATATACAATTTTGATTTGTGACATAGATCTGGGGTGTGTGTGTGTGTGTGTGTGTGTGTGTGTGTGTGTGTGTGTGTTGCTAGGGAATGGAGACTAGGTCTCTGTGCATTCCAAAAGCACATTCTACCACTGAAAAATGAATCTAGATCCTGCCAATGACATCTCAACAAAGTTGAAACAAATCTTTAGGATCATTTTTGGGGCAAGAGTAAGGATGGATTTGGGGGAGCAGATGCTGAAGGTGAGGGTAGCAGAGAGGAGGGTGAAGCCAATCCAAGGAGAAACACAGGCACAACCACAGAGGATGGCTCATATATGAGCAACAGTGAAGAAGTCAACTTGACAGAACTTGTAGATCAGTTGGAAGAGATGGCACTGAAGGAGGGGAGGGAAGCCACCTGATGCTTTGCAGGCAAGAGGGCACAAAACATGGACAAGCAGCAGGCAGAGAATGGGGAGACGAGTGGTGTTTTGTCACACTGTTTGGAGTTCCTGAGGACCGTCGTGTGGAGATGCCTGATGGGAAGCTGGAAATTTGTAACTAAGGAGAGTGGCTAGAGCTAAGCATGGTATTATTTAAACACAGGCGAAACCCAAAATTCAGGCATTTGGTAGAAGTCATAAGGAAGAGAATGTTTGGAACTCTATACACATGAAAAATAAGACAGCTTAGGAAAACACCTAAATTCAGGAGGTCAGTCTGGCATGGTGTCAGGCAGGGAGATGCACACCTTTAATCCCAGCACTCAGAAAGCAGAAGCAGGTAGATCTCAGTGAGTTCTAGGCCAGCCTGATCTACATAGCTAGTTCCAGGCTAGCTAGTGCTGCATAATGAGACCCTGTCTCGAATAAAATAACAAGCAAATTTAGGGGGCTGGTGGGAAAAAACCATAAATGCCAGAATCCTTGAAATAGATGAAGCCAGGACATGAAAGAGACATCAAGAGGGCAGAGCAGCACTGAGAGGTGAGTTCTAGGAAAAGACTAATCTAGAATGTGGTGACTGGGCTTCAGAAACAGAAGCTTGCCTTCTTGTTTTCATTCATGGGAGAGCCACTGGTAGCTGTGTAGTTAACAGGGGAGGTCAGAACCCAGAACACAGGGGCCCCAGACAGTGAGAAAGGATGAAGAAAGGGGCGTGCGTATAGGGTTTGATATCAAAAAGTTGGGATGTCATTCAGTGCATGGTGGTGCACACCTTTAATTCTAGCACTTGGGAGGCAGAGGCAGGCAGATCTCTGTGAGTTCAAGGCCAGCCTGGGCTACATAGTGAGTTCCATGCCAGCTGGGGCCACAGGGAGACCCTGTCTCAAAAATACCAAAAAAAAAAAAAAAAAAAGTATTTGCGGTGTCACAACTGCCTGTACCACTAGCTCCAGGGAATCCAATGCCCTCTTTCAGCCTCTCCAGGCACCTACATGCACATGGCATAAAACCAAACAGACACATCTACACAATACACATGAATAAAAATTAAATCTTCAAAAAAAAGGAGCTGGGGGAGGGAGATCTTTGTGTGTGTGTGTGTGTGTGTGTGTGTGTGTGTGTGTGTGTGTGTGTACAGGTCCAGGAATCCAGTTTGGGGGAGACTGACTCAGAAGGACTAGAGAGTGGGCTAAATAGGGAGACTGTCTCAAAATAAACACCACCCAAATGAAACAGTTGTGAAGAGGAGAAATGGGTACAATTCTAACATAAGGAGCAGGATCAGGGAAATGAGGCTTGTTTTGCACGGGAAGGGTAGGTATATTTTAAAACCAGAAAGGAGCCTGTGGAGATTAAGAGGGTACTGAAACTAGTCAAAGGAAGTGGAGGGAAATCATGTAAGTTGACCTAGGCTGGAGAGGCTGAGATCACTGGGGCCAGTCAGTGGGAAATGTCTGCAACCCTAGGGGTAGAAGGCAGAAGAGTCAGCTGGGAACGAAAACAAGGGCTAACAACGTGTCTTGGAGGGCCCACCAAGGAATGCCTTAGAAACACATAAAAGCTGGAATCTGATATGTTGAAGTATTAACTCGACTGCTGCTGTCTACATTATTTTCCACGTGCACGAATCTTTCGAGTAGTTACAGGAAAAAGTGAGCTGTCTGTTCCAAACAGCTTATCCAAATGAACTGAAGCACGAAGAAGACAAATAAACTCTTCTGATGTCAAAAAGTTACAGAGTATCATTTAGTGTTGAAACCAAGTTATGTTGATTATGTCGATCTGGTAGTTAACTTTATTATCATTACATTTGGCTGAGTCATTCCTGGGCCCTAAGTAGAAACGGTCAGATTGACCACGTGAGAATAAAATATCCTGATAGCAAAATAATTAGATTGGCCATCGAGACTACCCTGGGAGGGGCATGGAAAAAAAAAAAACTCAAAAAAAAAAAAATAATATGGGCACAGAAAACTCCCCGGGGAAAAAAAGGTGAGGGAAAAAAAAAAAAAAAAAAAAAAAAAAAAAAAAAGCTGACAGCAAAGCCTCGGCGCAAGGAGGCAGCAGCCCAGGGAGCAAGGAGCCGTACCTGGCCCCCCCCAGCTCAGTACAGAAGGGCGATCAGCAGGTCCACTCCAGCTAGCAGGGCGGACCCCGGAATCCTGCGGCTGGATGACTCGGCAACGCATCTCGGGGTTCCGCCCTTTTCCAGACAAGGGCACACCCCAGGGTCTGGGAGCATCCTTCTCAGAAGAATGCAAACTCTTCTTTGATGGAGCCCCAGAAAAGCCTCGCCCACCCCTCCCTCTCTCCCCAAGGGCATGGCTGAGCCTAGCTACAGAGTTGGCTGCACTAAGCGTCTGGACGGAGCCTCCATTTCCACCTCCGTCCCGCCCCAGCGGCTCGGGATCCAGTTACCTACTGCGCCTACGCGCGCCTCCCAGCTGGCGTTGGCTTCAAAGGCAGGGCTCAGAGTGCGCGGTGCTCTGGTTTCCAAGCAACCGGGATAACGGAGGTGGGCACAGAGCGCCTGCGCGGCTGGCGGTTGGGCGTGGTCAGTTGTGGAAAACTAGTCCCCGGGTTTCCCCGGAGCAGGAGCGGCTCCCAAGAGCCTCAGGTACGCGGAAAAGCGGGGAGACATGGGGTCGCGCTTCTCGGCCTCCCAGTACCCAAGGGGCAGGAGAGTGAGGTTTGTTCCCGGGGGTCGAGTCCCCAGCGAGGGCTTCCGCTTGACCCTCCTGGACAGAAAGGGACTTCCCGAGTTCCCGATCTAAACCGGGTTGGGGCAGTCAGATGTCATTTCCCTACGCCCATACCACCTCTCAGGTTACTGGCCTTGTGCTATGGGTGTCCTTGGATGAGGATTTGACAGCTAGGCACTTGTCCCAGGCCTGAGCGGCCCCTGTGCACTTTGGAATCCTGTGCAGCTCCTGCAGAAGGAGAGCCGTGACAACTCTTTGGGCCAAATTATTGCCAGGGCTCTGTTTCCTCACCCAGAAAATGGTGAGGCTGGACTCAGCCAACGCTTCCGTTTACTGGCGAAGAACTGGTCAGGTTGCTAGTTTTGTGCCCCAAATGACCTTCAAGCTAAGGCTTGTCCACCTAGTCTATAATACTGTATGGCAGTTACTGGTGCAAAGTAGCAGAACACCTGTGTCACGTTCGTTTTTTGCTCTCAGGGCTTAACAATCATCACTCACCAAACAATGAAGGAATGTCCTGGCAGATCCAGCACCACTGTCCCCAGAAATGTTTAAAGAAAACGTGGGTCGGGCAAATGTAGAAACAGCTTATTTTAGCAGCCGGGAGTGACCCTCAGACAAATTCTTCACATGTATTTGGTTTAAATCTCCCCTAGACTTAGATCCAGGCCCTCAATGGCCGGTCTCCAGTTGACTCCATATCTGCCTGTGGGCATTATGTTCCCACATAATAAAAGGGAAGCTCCAGGACTCCACTCAACCAAGCAAGACCCTTATGAAGAAGGGGACTCTTCCCTGAGGTCCTCGCTGGGACAACTGAGGAACAATTTCCATCCGAAGCTTTTGAGCAACAAAGAGCTGGACCTGGATAATGTCTACACTCACCCCCAGAAAAACACCTGCACAAAAGCTCGGAGATACTCTTACCCCCACAGTGCTGGAATCCACCAGCCAGTCTCCGGAAGTAATCCCCAGGGCCAAGGAAATGGCTTGTTTGGCTTGTCAAGTCCTCAACCTCGGTATTCCAAAGCCAATAACCAGGACTTCATTCACTTCACAAATAAGCGAGTTGGGGTACATGGGGCATTCCCACTGAAACCCATGGTCCACAACAAGTCTCGTAGTACAGGTGAGGCCTGCACTGATGGGGACCAGAATGTCTACCCCCAACCTCCGACTCGAGAGTTTTCAGACAGCAACTTCGGTTTGAGGAGCTGGGTGAATTCATCTGTTCTTACTGCCATGCAGGCAGAGAAGGCCATGGCAGACCGCCACAGGACTGAGTGGACAGAGATTCAAATTCTAGAAGCTGCTGGGGAGAGCTTACAGAAGGAAATCCGAAGAAAGGAGATGCTCCTGAGAGAAAAGCTGAAAAAGACAGAGGAAGGTCTGCGAAGGATCCAGAAAGAAAAAAAACAGACCAAGGAAAACGAAGACGAAGAGCTACAGAGAGTGATCCTTCCTAGGAGGAGAGCTAGTGGTAGTAACACCACATACAAACCCAGCTTCTCTCTGGAATTCAGATCCAAAAAGATGTTCAGTAGCAAAAGGGAAGATGAAATTTGTGGACGGCGTCAGGAAAATTCTAGTCCATTCCAGTTCTCTGATTATGGAATCCAGACACTCAAAAGGGAAAGGCTGGTGGCAAGCAATAACCAAATCCGAGAACGAGACTCACGGCCATCAGCAGACAACTTCTTTCAGCCTTCAGAAGAACTGGGCAGTGCTTTGCAGAGACCTAGCCTGTCCAGGACATCAGGCTCCTCAAGGTCCAGCTGCTCCACAAAAGAGCCAGAGCTGGGCAAGTGCAGTTACTGTGGACGCACATTTCTCTCAGTCAGGCTGGAAAGACACGCCACTGTCTGTGGCAGGATGCAGGGGTCCAAGAGGAAAGTGTTTGACTCCTCCCGGGCCCGGGCAAAGGGCACAGAACTAGAGCAGTACTTGAACTGGAAGGGGCCAGCCACAGTCAAGGTAATAAAAGCCTCCTAGATTTGACTGTGTTTAGGGATCTATGTAAAGACCTGCTATGTTTTCACCATAGGATAGGGGGGAGAATTAAGACTTCTCAAGTACTATTGTTTGCCATCTCAGTGGTGGGAGCATTTCATACAATCCTTACAAGTCTGTAGAATCTCATTGTTTCTCATTTTAGCCATTTAAAAATCAAGGCTGAGACCTCTCTTAAACATATACACAACCCTGCCCCAAGCTTGAACAGATTAAGTAACTTGTTTTGTATGGGTTATCCTCAAGGACCTGTGGGTGTCAGGTCTATTACTGAGAAATTCCCAGATCCTGGGTTAAATAACTTTCTAACACTTTTAAGAGACAGAGTCAATAGATAAATCTTAATTGAATTAACTTCAAAATCTAGACTTTAAAATATATGTCCTTTTGATCATTATTATAAAAATAATACATATTTGCTACAGAAAACTTTAAAAATATGAAAACTAAAGGAAAAAACTATGCATTTCATGTTTATATTAAAAATAAATATAAGGAGCTAGAGAGATGGTTCAGCGATTAAGATCACTGGCTGCTCCTGCAGAGGACAGGTTAGGTTCCTAGCATTCACATAGAGAGTAACAACCATTTATAACTCCAGTTCCAGGGAATCCAGTGCCCTCTTCTGGCCTCCACAGCATAGCATGACATAGGTATACTTACACACATGCAGCCAAAACATTCATACACATAAAATAAAGTTAAACAAATTTTAAAAACATATAAAATGTTTAATTTTATGATGTATTAAGAAAATTCCTGTGGGTGTGGCACATGCCATTAATCCCAGCACTTTGGAGGCAGAAGCAAGTGGATCTCTCTGTAAGACTGAGGCCAGGCTGATCTACATAGTGAGTTCCAGGACAGTTGGGGCTATAGGAAGACCCTGTCTCAAAAAAAGACCAAGAGGGACTGGAGACATGACTCAGTAGTAAAGAGCCCTGACTGCTCTTGCAGAGAACCCAGCACCCACATGGCAGCTAACAACTGTAACTACAGTTCCAGGGGATCTGATGCCCTCTTCTGACCTCCTCAGGCATTGCACGGCATGGGCACACATATACATGCAGGTAATACACTCATTTTGTGTGTACAAAATAATGAAATATTTTTAAAAAGACCTCCCCCAAATTCCTTGTTTCTTGCAATATACATTGCTGTTGCTTTTATTGCTTTTAGCTGTACTACTCTCAACATTATCTCACTTTGATATACCTTCTTAGTAAATATAGGAAACACAGTTAAGTTTGGAATTATTTTCCCCTTGTTTAGAATATAAAGGGATGAAGGACTTTCTTTTTTGTAATCTTTCAAAAGCATCACTCACTTAAAAAAAAAAACAACTGTAAGAAGTAAGAGCTTCAAGCCACCTAAGTGATAGCACAGGAGAAGCACACAGGTTCATTTAGACATACCTGGAGGGGCGTTCTCCATAAACAACCTGTCAAGGCTATGCCACTTGGTTTGTAAAGTAAGTATTTCTCAACATTTTTCATTTTAGTACATGTTAGGAAAACATATTATGCCTGTAATTTCTGGGGATCATGAATTTAAAGAAAAATATTAAAGGATAAGGTGATAAGGTTGGGAAAAACCTAGGCCATATTATCTCCAAGGCCCCATCTAGCTTTAGTATTGTAGGAAAAAAATAGAGCACCCTTCTGTTTTCATGTCTTCCCAATGCTCCCTTAGCATCAGGACTTTATATGTCTATTTTCTGGGGCCTTTAAAAGCACCTATGATGTTAGGATGCTAGGAGATAAAAGTTTATAATTAGTTTTTCTTTTATTACAATTTGAGAGACCACAAGAATGCCTCCCCTACATTCAGAGATAATCTCCCTAAAATTCAGCTTCTAACAAGAGGTCAACATTTTTCTCTGACAGATAATGACAGGATGGCCAGACTGTTCTTTCCTGTTTTGTTTTTGGTCAACCCACTAATCCACTGGGGATTCCCTGTGACCTCCCATAACAATTTATGTTCGGCCATAGCCTAAAAGAACCTTGTGCTTCTTAAGTTCCTAAATATAGTAGCAGAGAACCTAGAGTTTGCACCAACTCTATGGAAACTAGTTTGAAAGAATGTGTTGCACAGAGGACACTAAGGCAGAAAGCACTTGGACTGGGGTACACCCTGTCCTGGGAATGTCTTATTCCAGAGCCCTGAGCTTTGAAAGCTAAGCAGTTATTATCTCCCTATCATTCTTCTAGTGTATGCCAAGAACAGGTTTTCTCTAAATCATTTAATCTTTATATAACTTCCAGCAAACCTGTATCTCTGTCTAATGGACTATAAGCATTTGAGGATAAGGACCACACACATCTCTGTGCCTTGTGCTTAATGTATTAGAAAGTGTTAGTATGATAATAGAAAAATAGCTACTGAACCCCTTGAAGAGCCATCTTCTAGTTGAATTTTTAAAAACCATTTAAAAATTTTTTATTTTATGTGTATGAATGTTTTGCCTACATGTAAGTACACCCGTGTCAGGCAGTACCCGAAGAGGCCAAAAGATCGGTGTCAGATCCTCCGAAGCTGGAGGTACAGATGGTTGCTAGCTGCCATGTGGTGTTGGGAATCAAACCTCGGTTCTCTGGAAGAGCATCCGGTGCTCTTAATCGCTGAGTCATCTCTCTAGCCCCTAGTTGAATTCTTTTAAACGTTCCTGGGTATCATCTCTAACATTTTTGCCTTCTGTTTCAGTAAGAGATTTTCCTGGTAGACCCTTTTCCTTTGACATATATCTTGCTATTACCAAGAAATGTTTGTCTTTTTTCTCTTAAAGATTTTTATTTTACATTTATTTATTGTGCATCTGTGTGTGTGTGTGTGTGTGTGTGTGTGTGTGTGTGTGTTATGCTGTATGTGTTGTGGTCAGAGGATCGCTTATGGGAGAGTTAGTTCTATACTTCCACCAATATGGGTCCTGGGGATAGAACCCAGGCTTGGCAGCAAGTGCCCTTACTTGCTGAGCCATCTCTCCGGCTCTAATTTTATTTTAAATAGTAATTACATGCATTTAAAAAACCATGTGGTACTAAATGATTTATAATGCCGTCTTGCTTCATCCCCCTCAGGCCCCTAATCGAGCCCACAGTTGTGTGAGAAGTCCTTCTGGTATGCATTTCCATATTTATAAAGAATATGCAAGCCCAGTGTAGTGGTGCATGCCTTTGATCCCAGTACTTGGGAGGCAGAGGCAGGTGGATCTTTGTGAGTTCAAGGCCAGCCCGCTCTACATAGTGAGTTCCAGGCCAGCTGGGGCTACAGGGAGACCCTGTCACAAAAAGACGAAAAAAAAAAAAAAAAAAGAATGCTTATTTTCTTGATTTACCAAACTTTCATATTCTCTGATGACTTCTCTTGGGACTTCATGGGTCAAGCTCTCTTTCAAATTTCTTTTCTTTTCACGCAGTTGATCACAGCTCTGACTTAAAGCAGTAGACTTTTACATGACCACTGTAGGTTTCCTTCACTCATGAGTAAGCAAATTCTGTTCTGCCCACATGAACTTGGAGTTAATTACTGACTTATGTTTTCATTTCCTTCATTTCCTACACACCAATATTTAATTTTCCCCCCAACTAATCCATCTGATGTCAGATATCTGCTAATATTTATGTAAGTACTCAAACACTTTTTTATAACAAATCACTTTGGGATTTTTTTTCCCCCCAAATTCTGAAAGTGTCTCTCTCTTCCTGCTGTCTGGTTATCCTTGTTGCCTTGGGACTCTCTCTGCTTCTCATGCTGAGTTCTATCTTTTCTTGTTTCACTCCTTTTATCCTTTTTTTCCTGAAGCTTATTAAGAAATACACACAGGGGCTGGAGAGATAGCTCAGTGGTTACGAACACTGGTTGTTCTTGCAGAAGACCTGGGTTTGAATCCCAGCACCCACATGGCAGCTAACAACTGTCTGTAACTCCAGTTCCAGGAGATCTGATGACCTCTTCTGTCTTCCATGGGCATTACACAACATGGGTGCACTTACCTACATGTAGGCAATACATGCATACACATAAAAAAAAATACACACAGGAGGTATATTTTTATTCTTGGAATGAAGAAAAGTTATCTACATAATAGCTTCCTATTTGATTATTTGGTTGTATATAGAGGTTTAGGTGGAAAGTGATTTGATTAGAACTTTTAAGAATTACTAGCTTTTAAAAAATATTATTTTTATGTGTGTGAGTGTATTGCCTGCACATGTGTAAGTGCACCCATGTTGTGCAATGCCTGCTGGAGGTCAGAAGAGAGTGTCAGACCCCCTGGAACTGGGATTATGGACAGTTGTTAGCCACCATGTGGGTGCTAGGAACCAAACTTGGATCTTCTGCAAGAGCAGCCAGTGCTTTTAACAACTGAGCCATCTCTCCAGCCCCAAGGCTTACTAGCTTTTAGCACCCATGTTTATTTTGAGACATATATCATTTTGATTCCTGATTCATTTTGTGAAATCTATTGTTTTCAAAAGCTAACATGATTTTCTTTACTCTGAAATGCTAAGGTTTTACAATGATTGTTTTGGATACTTGATAAGCCATTTCAGTTTCAAGACATGATCTTTAATTTTACAAATATTGATTATATTATTTCTTTAATAATTTCCTCCTGTGCTTTCAGTTCCTTTTGGACCAAGTTTGGTTACATGTCAAACTTCCTGGACTGATTTTCCGATTCTCTTTCCACTTTCCATCTTGATCTGTTTTTCCCATTCTGATAGTTTTTCTTTTTATCATTTTGCAATATTTCTATTTCAGTTTTAGCTAGCAAAGTTTTAATTTATAGATGTACTGTTTCTCTGGTTGTTCATCTTTCATAGCATACTCCTTTTATGGACACAATCTCTTTTAATACTTTATTGACATATTTTTCTGTAAACAATGTTTTTCTTCATTTCCTGAGTTTTTGTGTAGTTTTTTTTTTTTGGGGGGGGTCTCTTTCTTGTTAGAGCTTTCATCAAGTACCTTGAAACCATTAATGTTTATTCATATTTAAGCTTCAGTAATTGGGTTCCCCCAAGGTCAGTGCTGGAAAGTTTATTTCTGGAGCTCTGGATGAATCTAGAGAATGGCTGTCCTTCCCATGTGGATGTCAAAGTACTGGCACTCTGGGAGCTGACCTGACAGTTCTGCAGTTGCTGGGTATACCTACTTCCCATTAACCAGCCCTGAAATTAACCCTGTTCTTCACCCTATCTGGAATTTCTAAGTCAAAAATCCTTCTAGGAGCTAGCATTAATCAGAGGTTAAGAGTACTTAATGCTTTTTCAGGCCACCTAAATTCAGTTCCCAGCACCCAGTTCAGGAGGCTCACAACCACCTGTAACTCCATGGGATCCAATACCATCCTTGGCATCTGTAGGCACCCACACATAGAGACATACCTATATACACATAAACTTTAAACAATCTTAAAAACCTATCTAGTTCAATTTCTCCAGAGATTAAGCCTCTGTTCTGTGAAAGTACTGGCATATTAGGCACCTACAAGTGCAAGGTAGGAGAGAGCCCCTGGGTCCAGCTGGTTTTCAGTCTCACAGCTGTCTCCTTTCTACCCCACCTGACTCCCAGCCGTTCTTCCAGGAAAATGGCTTGGCCTCCAAGCATATCCCTCCTGCAGGCGCTTGGTCTGTGTGTCAGCTCTGGCCAGTTAGTCATCACTCTTGCTCCTTTCCAGTTCTCGTTGACCCTGAGGGTTAACATACTTTCCATTTCCCTACTGTCATTCTCATGAAGTCTCAGGAAGGTGGTGCGCTCAATGTCAGCTGAAGGTTTAGGGTTTCTTTCATCTTACAGGCTGAACCTCCTCAGAAGAGCACCTGGAGACAGAAGCATGAGTCTTTCATCCGTTCCCTCCGGCATGCTCGAGAGGTCCAGCAGGTAATTGCCAGAGGTGGGAACCCCTCAGACTTGCCTCCCATCCTGCCTGCAGAAAACTCAGACTATCTTCAGTGTCCTCACTGCAGCCGCCACTTTGCTCCCAAGGTAGCTGAGCGACATATACCTAAGTGTAAAACCATCAAGAACCGTCCTCCGCCTCCTAGGAAGTACGACAGTTGAGTAGACAACAGTGGAAACCACCTTGCACAGTTCAGAAGACTGTGCTCTTCAGCAGTAAACCAGAGTAGAAGAATTTGATGAAAAACAGAGAAAACAGAACTTTTCCAGAACTCAGATCTGCCTTGGAGCAAATTCATCCATGAGAGCCAGACGCATGGCAGGAGGCAGAAGGAAGCCCCAGCTTTTCACGGAGTCATGACCTTAGATGGTATGTCTTATGTATTCTTGACAGAATTGGTGGGTGAAGACACTTAATAGTAAGGCTGAATTAAAGCTCTTCTAATGAGCCTGACCATCATGGTTTGAGCTGGTGAGATGCCTGTATTCAGTTGTGTTTTCTGGTCATGGCATGTATCCAGGGTTAACCCTTCTTACTCTTGAAAGAAGTCGGTATTAGGAGGACGTGGGGTCACAGGATTTTTGTCACACAGATGGTAACTCATAAAAGATACTAAGATTGTGCTGGAAGGTGTTATTAATGGAAGTCTATCCTTGGCCTCCTTAGTGCATGGTCCTGGCCAAAAGCCAACAAAAGTATGTAATGTTAGGGACCTGTGTATCCTAAACCTTCCCTATGCTGTGCTGTAAAATAAAGGAAACATCTTTATGCACTTTACAGGGCAAGGATGGGTGGAAAACACGTTTTACTTCTCTACTTGTTTTTTTTTTTTTAATGGGTTTTATATGTCTGAAAAAAAAAAAAGCTGCAAGCACCACTTTCAAGTCAGGATGGCTGGATGACTTTTAAAATGAGGCAGCAAATCTACCACCAGAGATTGGCCACTGTCAGGCTCCATGTCCCTGCTAATTCAAGCACAGTCACACTTCTGACTGAAATGGGTCAGATCTTTTTTTAACTTTGTGGGAATAGTGCCTACTGTAAGTCAGGCCCCCAACTAATGGGTTAGGGGGACTTAAAAAGATGAGTGCTCAAGGAAAGCTCCCAAACCACTGGATATTTAGCCTAACATGCATCTTCCCCCATGTAAGTTTACTGAGGAATATACTTAAGTTCCACACTTGATGCTAAAAACAAGAGATAAGAATACGCTGTGGCTGAGGTCACAAAGTGGCATCTCCACAGATGTTATATTTGGGCATGAGGCATTAGAAATATGAACCTGCATTTAAAAATTGGGATATGGACCATGTCTTGACAAATTGGAGTGTCTGGAAACACTGGGCTAGCAACCTACACAGGACACACTGGGTGGGGCTCAGAATCCATGGCCCCTTCAGCTAGCAATGGCAGCCAGTGGAGCCTGATTTCCTGGTTTCGTCTGTTGGGCCTCCTAGGCATGTGTGTGTTTGGGATCCCAGGATGATGTTATTAGGGTCACAGGTCGGCCCTCAGAGGGAAGAGATGTGTACAGTGAGTGCTTTCTATAGATGCAGGCACAGTTACTCATTCTTAAATTGCCAAAGAAACAAGGTCCAATGTCTTAGTGTTGCCTTTGATTTCTACATGTTTAGGTCTTAAGTTTTTGTTAGTCTTGGCTTGGCTGTTTTTCTAAGTCTATTCCTGGATAGGATAGAGAATGTATAAATGCTGCTTGTAAATGTCCATATTTTATGTTACTTTAGCCAAGCATATGTAGTAAACATTATAAATTCTAAAGTTCAAAAAGTTAAAGCTATGGGAAATTCTCATGGTGAAACTCACAGGGAAGCCCATTTCATTTAGAAGTGTGTGCAGACATGCTGAGCTAAGACTTCCGAGTTCACGCTGCACCTCTTGTCAACATTTGTTTTCGGTCATCAACGGATCATTCTTTACAACTACACAGATGGCAGCAGTACTGTGATGTAGGTTTTCCTCCCTGAAGCCTGCGATCCTGTGAGGTTTAATGATCAGCATGTTTATTTCCATAGTGAATCATTGAGGCAATAAATGATTTCTGGCTTTGCAGCAGGAAGATGTTTCACAGTGCTGATCACAGCCCACTCTGCTTGACGTTGTCAAGTTTGTCCTTGGAGGCCTGGGGATCTCATTTTCAGGACTTCTCTAAAATACATCCTGTCCTTGCCGCTTCCTATCATGATTGCTTCTGAGTAGATAACCAAATGAAATCTGAGTGTTGGGAGCCTTTGCTTTAAATTTTAGTGAAATGCTCAGCCAAGAAAAGTTTGAATTTGGCTGTTATGCCAAAGAGGCCAAATACAATTCATCTTGTGGAAGTCTCATAAAGACACCGGCATGATCACTTGGAAAAGCCTCCTTGTCAAGACCAATGTGGTTAAGTACAAGGAAGAACTCATTTTTTTTCATTATCATGTGTATGCATGTTGTGAGTACAGGCGTGCACATGCCAGTATATGTGGAGGTCAGAGGACAATTCTGTGGAGGTGGTTCTCTCCTCCTACCTTTATGTGGGTTCTGCAGCTTGAACTCAGGTTGCCAGGCTTGCAGGGCAAGCCACCTTTATCTGCTGAGCTATCTTACCAGTCCAGGACCTTCTTTTAATGGCTCATTTTTTTTCTCCCTCTGTACTTTTAGCACTTTTACAAACATTTGGGGAAAAAAAAAAAAAAAAAAAAGGTTGTAACAGAGGAAATGACTTTGCTGTCAAGAATAAGAGATTAGAAAACAGCAGAGGTTATTTCTGTGCAGTGTCTCAAGTTGTTTCTGTTAAAAGAACAATTTTTTATTATTATTATCTCTCTTTTTTTTTTTTGAGGCAGGGTGTTCCTGTAGCTATAGCTGGCCTGGATTCACTATGGAGACCAGGCTGACCTTGAATTCACAGAGATCTACTTGCCTCTGTCTCCTGAGCGCTGGAATTAAAGGTGTGCACCACCAAGCCTGGCTCCACATTTATTTATTTATATAAGACCCACAGAATCAAAGATCCACCAAGGCCTAGCACTGTGGGTGTTTCTCTCCAGTGGTAGAGGTCACTGCACAGGCTTACTGAAGCACATAGAAAGTTTAAACATTTATTTAAAACAGAAATGCCAAACCACTCCACCCTCATCCTTCCAGCATCTGGCCAACAATAAGCCGGTTCTTCAGCAAAAGTGTGGGCACAGAGGATTAACGTAGGTTATACTGTAACTCAAAAGCAACACTACTGGAAAGCTTAAAACACCTAGCACTGCATAAAGAATAGCAGGACACAACTTAGGAAGAATTAGCTACAGGAAACCATTCAAAGGTATTTCTGCTATCTTGCCTTTACTGTACCCCATGCCTGGCTGCCACCTTTGAACTGGTTTCTATTTGCATAGCTGTTTGGTGGGAAAAACCTTATGGCTATCTCAGGCACAATTTGGAAAGTGCAAACTGTCTCTAAGGCACAGAACTTAAGATTCTCAGCCAGATAAATAGCAAACCTACAGTTTCCAAGGAAGCACACTAGAGGAAATGACCATCATGTTCTACTTGGGAGTGACTCCCTGGGGCTCTTGCCCCCTTCAACACTGTCACCACACAGTCAGCAACATGCCCATGCCCCTTAGCTCCCAAGCAGAAGTGATCCTCATGATGAATACCCAAACTGACCCTGCCTCTCAGGCCTGCTGAGATGGTGAACATGAGGAGACAGGAACACCAAAGGCCAGCCAGTCCCAAAGAAAACCGAAGTTGTACTGACACAATGACCCAAAACCCACTGTCAGGGTTTATAGTCAACAGCAGACTCCTAGAACTTGTAACCTTAATTCAGGATTGGGCCCTTCCCTTATTTCAGGAAAAGGCTTCAGTGATTACATCAGTACTATTGTACTATGCTTCTCAGAATTGAGAAAACAATGGGATAGCAATAATCCCATTGGACAGAGTTGCCCATCCCCACAGATGGGGTTTCCTCCCACTGCCAGACTCTACACCACCAGTTTAGAGAAATGGCAAAATTTCTCCTACACAGGTAAGTCCTTTTGCAATATTAAAATAGAGAGCAAACCTTTTTTGGTTTGGTTAGATGAAACAATATTAATTTAGCTGTTTGTAGGGAGGATGTGGTACTCATCAAAGCAGCTGCTGTGGCCCCAAACACTACCAAGCAATTCATTAAGCTTAGTGGAAGCACAAGGCTCACATTTAAGGGAAACCATCAAATGTCTGCCTAGAAGATTGGTTCTTCTAGGACACACATTCTCTTTGGAAAAGGCAGCTTGTTCCTCTCTAAAAGGACAGAGCAGAATTGAACTTGCAACCAATTTCCTTTCACTTGGCAGGTTCTACCTGTCAAGCTTTTGGGACCCCAAGGATTTGGTACTGGCTTTGGGCCACTCAAGTAGGAAAGAGGATACTGATTTACTGGGTATGACATAGCTTCAAAACACACCAAGAAGGGAAAAATACTGACTAGACATATAGAAGGGGTGGCTGGGGCTGCTGCTATCAATCAGACCCCTAAAAGCCATGATATCAGGGCACAAGAATCCAAGACTCAATGTCACCTGAGGGCCCTCTCACACACCAAGGCAAAGCATTCAAGGAGGTGTTACCCTCCCTTCTGGTTTTCTCCCATGGCCCTACCTACTGCCCTGTGATGTAATTCTGAGGTACCTCCTCTCTTGGAGATCTCTTTCAGAGCTGGGAATATCAACCACAGCCTGAAAGTCCAGCTATGTGATGAGGAGGAACCTTCCCTTTTTCTACTCCTCACTGATGATGTTTTAAGCAACCTCCAGAGCAAAAAGCAATCTAAGTTTTTCCTCATAAAGCACTTAGCTGCATGAAGTAACCAGACTAAAACAATTTGACTGACTCCATCAGACAAATTTTCCTGGACTCCAGGTTCCTAAGAAGGCTCAGATACTTTACCACTCTCTGGCGGACCCTGGACAGGCCATGCCTGGCCATAGCCTATTCCAACTTGACACTTTTCCCGCCTTCACCCAGAGGTGCAATGCCTGGTGCTAAATTCTCAAGGCAGCTTCCAATCAATGGTGAATATGATAAATGGGATGTGAGCTGCTACCAGCACAATTAAGGTGAGCACTGTGTCTCCTCTTCAAAGGTGAGATCAACAGATGAGGTACAGAGCTGCTGTTGCTATGGCAGTCACTGATGACAAAGCCAGGACCACAGGGCCCTTCCAATCTCCAAAACAAAATCACTCCTAGATCCTATCTAAAAGGCAATGCCACTCTCCAAATGTATAAGGAAAGTGCTTTAGAGCCACTGCCTTGCGCTCCTTGTCTGCAAGTGAACAAAGCCAGGAAAGCTGCTCTCTGCATTTGGTAAGTGTGTTGTGAAGTTCTTTGGGTCCCAGTTTCCTGAGGACTATGTGGGCTCAGGAGACTAGAGGCTGGGTCGACAAGAGTCCGTTCCAAGAAGGCACCAGGAATCTGAATCTAAGTCAGGCTTTGGATCCATTTCCATCTCTTCCTTTGTTGTCTGAGTTCCTTTGGAATGCATCCCCACCTGTTCAGACAAAACACAATTCCTCATTACTGACAGTACCACTGGTCATGGCACATGAGGGCTGCATTTTCAATACACTCCAGCCTCTAAGAATTCCTAGTCATAGTCTTGTGGAAAGCTCAAGTGGTTCTATCTTAGAACCTCATCAAGTCCTCATCTTTACATTTATGCAAGCAGAGTGATCAACTGTCCTGGTTTGCCCAGGCCTGCCGGATTTTCTGGGATATAAACTTTTAGTAGGAGGGGGCTGGAGAGATGGCTCAGCAGTTAAGACCACTGACTACTCTTACAGAGTACTTGGGTTCAATTCCCAGCACCCACATGGCAGCTAATAACTAACTCCACTTCCAGGGAAATCAGACGGCCTCTTCTGACATCTGTGGCATTGCATTATACGAGTGCGCTTACATACATGTAGGCAATACACTAATAAACATAAAAATGAATATTAAAAAAAAACCCAACTTGCCAGGTATGGTGGTGCACGCCTTTAATCTCAGCACTCGGGAGGCAGAGGCAGGCGGATCTCTGTGAGTTCAAGGCCAGCCTGGTCTACATAGTGAGTTCCAGGACAACTGGGGCTACAGGGAGACCCTGTCTCAAAGAGACTAAAAAAAAAAAAAAAAACCCAAATAAAAAAAAAAACAACTCTCAGTAAGAAAAGTAAAACAAAGCCAGGCATCATGGTGCACACCTTTAATCCCAGTACTTGGCTGACAATCTGACCTCAGGTATGTAGGTTACTTTGTGAAGTATTTTCAAAGATATTTCCCTTAATCTGCAAACTAACTATATGGAGTAGGTTGTATTATTTACAAAGCAATGAATCCAAACTCAAGCAACTTACTAGTAAATGGCAAAGCCAAAGAATGACTGTTCCCCTATTCCTAGCTGAGTTGAGATGGCTCTTTAAAGACAGTGTCAGGTGGTTGGAGAGATGGCTCAGCAGTTAAGAGCACTAGCTGCTTCTTGCACAGAACCTGGGTTCAATTATGAGCACCCACATGGCAGCTAACAACTGTCTTAACTCAAATTCCAGGGGAATCTGATGCTTTCTTCTGACCTCTGCAGGCAGTGCATGACATGGGTGTACTTACATACATGCAGGCAATACATTCATACACATAAAAAATAAAAATAAATTTAAAAAATATTGAAAAAAGTGTTTTTCTTTTTTATTTATTTATTTATTTAATTAAAAAGGTGTGGTGGCGCATGCCTTTAATCCCAGTACTCAGGAAACAGAGGCAGAGGCAAGCAGATCTCTGTGAGTTCAAGGCCAGCCTAGTCTACACAGTGAGTTCCAGCACAGCTGGGGGTTACAGGGAGACCCTATCTAAAAAGACAATGTCAGCAGGGGCTGGAAAGATGGTTCAGCGGTTAAAAGCACTAGTTGTTCTGGCGGAGGACCTGGGCTCGATTCCCAGCACCCACGTGGCAGCTAACAACCATCCGTAACTCCAGTTCGAAGGGAATCTGACACCCTCTTCTGAACTCTGTGGGCATTGCATGACACAGGTACAGAAAATACACTCATACACATAAAAATAATACAATAATTAACAAAAAAGACAGTGTCAGTAGCATCATACGCAAAATGGTTTTTTAAAACTATGTAGCCGGAATCCAATAAAACTTTAATACTAACTTCTAGTTTTCAGAAGAGTATGCTAAAAGGATGAACTGACAAATCCAGAACATGGTGTATTTTGTTAACCTAATAGTCATTTATTCATCATAATACTGAAAAAAGCCAGGCATGGTGGCCCACACCTTTAATCCTAGCACTTGGGAGGCAGAGGCAGGCGGATCTCTGTGAGTTTGAGGCCACCTGGGTCTACATAGCGAGTTCTAGGCCAGTTGGGACTACAGGGAAACTGTCTCAAAAAGAAAGAAAGAAAAAAAAAACCTGAAAAAAAAAAAGTAATGGTAGTTAGGAGCAATTGTTCTAGATCAAAATGACTGGATTCTGGTTAAAGGTCATTTTTGTTAGAAAAGGAAAATTCAAATGATCTACTGGATACTGGATGAAAATTGAGAGTATTAGTGTAAACTCTGTTATAACAGTTTGATAACAATATTGTGGTCATCAAAGAGAACAAGGAGCTTTATATTTGAAGATGGGTAACAAAGTATTTAGGGAAGATTACATCATCATTTTTATTTATTAGTGTGTATGTATGTGTGAGAGATTGATTGCAAGTGGTGCCCTGAACATATGGAAGTCAGAGGAAAACTCCTGGGATCAGTTCTCTCCTCCACTGTGGGTTCTGGGGACTGAACTCAGGTCAGGATTATGTGGCAAGCACTTTTACCCACTGAGCCTCTCACCAGCTTTTCATCATCACTGCCTGCTCTTGCATAGGACCTGGGTTCAGTTCCCTGCACCCACATGACAGCTAACAACTGCCTGTAACTCCACTTCCAGTGGATCTTATACCCTCTTCTGACCTTCTCAGGCAATGCATGACATGGGGACACTTACATAAATGCAGATAATACACTCAACACATAAAATAATAAAGAAAATGGTTCAGTAAGGCTGGGGTTCAGCAAGCTCAGTGGTAGAGTATTTATCTGGCATGTACAGGGCCCTGAGTTCAATCCCCAATACTGCATAAATAGACAAAACAGTTAAAATAAATATGTATATTTACACATACACACACCAAATAAAGCAACATGTTAACACTTACTGAATCTGGATGGTAGGCATATGGGTATTCATTGTAATGCTTAAAATTTTTCATAGGTAAAAAAATAAAAAACCACACGGTAACAGAAAACAATGGAAGTTAGGTGGTAAAATAATTAAATGGAGGTGCCTGAACTAGTTCCAAGGCTTCTGGGGTCTATTACAAAACTTACGTCATTCAAAGATAAGGCCTTGCAAAGGAGTAAGTGAATTCAGTTTAGGGTTTTGTTTCTGTGGCTTCTCAAAGCAGACTCAGCAATCCAGTTATTCTTTTATTGCTCTCACCTGCTGCCCTCCTTCTACCTTCTTGCTCAGCTTTTGTAGTTGGGTAAAAATCTGGAAGTTTTCTTGCTGTAGCTTCTGTTGTTCAGCCAGACATGTTACCACCAGACCCTGCAACCTCTCAACCTCCACCTGCAGACTGTTGCACGCACAGGCTGGAGAGGTCAATGGAGTTCCCTTTCCGGCACATGGAACTGCAGGACTCAGCCGGGGAGGCTATAGACAAGAAGGAGATATTGCAGGAGGATCTGCCACAACTCGTCAACAGTTTTTACTTTTTAACTAACAAGGTAACACAAATATATACAAGAGGTGCAAGAGAAACAGAACACCAAGATTCCAACAGCACCTGGCATCACGAGGATAAGGGAGTGCTCAGTACCTCAGGCTGTGGTAGGCTAAGTAAGAACGTCTATTTGAGAGGATTTTGTGAAAATCTTTAAAGGACATTGGCTATGGTCTTATTTAAAATGCTGCATGCAAAAAGCATGATTTCATTTGGAGTCCCTATGATCACAGTGAGGACACTAAGTCCTGATCACAGTGAGGACACGTGATTCAAGGGTCAAGATTCTTAAAATGTAGTTGGTCACACCACAGAAAAGATTTGAGAAGACTTCAATAGAGAGAACTGCCCACACAATTCAAATAGGCTGATCAACTGGAAGTAAAATATTTACCTTGAAGTTTCAAAGGTTTTACTATCTTTGGAAAGGTTTTTCCAAATTATTTAAGTCTGGATTTTTCACCCTTATGTGTGTTTTTTAATATTCATGTCAACGAATAATAGCCCATAGGTGAATTTTGGCCTACTGCCTATTTTGTAAATAAGTTTTTTTTAAACATACGTAAACTTATTTATTATGTATTAAAGGTTGAGTATCACTAATCTGAAAATCCCAAATGCTCCAAAATCCAAAACTTTCTGAGCACTGACAAGACACTAAAAGCTTGTCACTTAAGCTCATGAAATGGGCTGCACTAAAAACAGGCACATTAAAATATGGTAAAAAAAAAATGCCTTCAAGCTGTCTATGAAACACAAATTTATGTTCAGTCTTGGATCCTATCCCTAAGATATCTCATTATATATGTGAAAACATTCCAAAGTCCAGCAAAATCTGAAATCCAAAACAATTCCGGGCCCTAGAATTTGGGGTAAGAGCTACTCAGCTTGTATTTGCAGTTGTTTTCGTGCTGTCAGAGTTTGTAGCTGCAAAAGAGATTATACAGGACTGGAGAGATAGATGGCTCAGTGGTTAAGAGCAATGACTGCTTTTGCAGAGGACCCAGGTTTGGTTTCCAGCACCCACATGGCTGTAACTCCAATTCCAGGGGACTGATGTCCTCTTCTGGCCTCTGTGGACATTGTATGTCTCAGGTGCACTTACATATATGCAGGCAAAACACTCATATGTATAATTTTTTTTTCTTTTTTTGGTCTTTTTGAGACAGGGTCTCCCTGTAGTCACAGCTAGCCTGGATTCACTATGGAGACCAGGCTGGCCTCGAACTCACAGAGATCCACCTGCCTCTGCCTCCCAAGTGCTGGGACTAAAGGCATGTGCCACCATGCCTGGCATATGAAATAAAGTTTTAAAAAAGATTGTATAACCCACAAAGGCAAACAATTACTGTGTGGCCTCTATATAAAAAAAGTCTGATGTCCCCTGGTTTAGAGTTACTGATATAGTCACCACAAGTTCTTTTCCACCAAGGTCGGGTGTCTGTGCATTGCTCCTTCATTACACTACAGGCAATACTTATATTTACAGCCCAAACCTAGTCTCATTGTGTCATGAGAAATTGAATTTGGAGGCTGGGGATGTGGCTCACTTGGGAGAGTACTTGCTTAGCACGCATCAAGTCCTGGTTTGGAGCCCCAGGACTACATAATTGGGAGTGTGGTAGTACATGTCTGTAACACTAGCACTCAGGAGGTAGAGGCAGGAGAATCAGAAGTTCAAGGTCATCTTCCATCCTTAGCGATATAGCAAGTTTGAGGCTAGCCTGGGCTACATGAGACCTTGTCTCAAAAACCAAAAAATCAACCACCCCAACAAAAAAAAATCTAAATTGGAAATTTAGATTTCAATTTTGGTACTTCTGAGGAAGAGAAAAAAAGGAATCAATCTTCTGGTATAGAACAGGTGCTGGCCTGTCAGAAATGTGACAGGGAAAACTGTTCCAAGGCTTGTCAGTTTATAGCCTTCAGTAGAGAGAAGCTTTCTGGACTTGTTGGACAGACACTGTAAAGTTGTTACAGGACAGTGAGAGAAGCAAGGAAACTAGAGGACACGAAGGCAGAACTGGGTTGAGCTCATTGTCCACCTAGCTGAGACTGAATAAGAAGAAAGCTCAGTTACCCAGGCTCCTACTGGGGGCATGCATTCTGGAGGAACTTCAGAGGTGACTTTGAGTCCTTGCAGCTCTTCATAGGGCAATGTGTCTTTCTCAGATTCTGAAAATGCAGCACTTAGGGGAGTTGGGCTGTCAGGCATGGGGATGAATTCTGCATTTTCCAGCTCCTAGGGTACATGAGGAAAAAAAAAAAATTCACAGTTCTGTTTGCAATTACTTTCTCCCAAATTCCTCTCTAGCTTTTTTTTTTGGTCTTTTTGAGACAGGGTCTCCTTGTAGCCCCAGCTTTCCTGGAACTCACTATGTAGACCAGGCTGGCCTTGAACTTACAGAGATCCACCTGCCTCTGCCTCCCGAGTGCTGGGATCAAAGGCATGCGCCACCATGCCTGGCCTCCTCTCTAGCTTTTAACTCCAGCTTTCATTCTGTTGTGACATCAGCGCCCTCTAGTGGAACAAAACAGTGGTGGTTGACATCACATATGGTCTAACTTGGAAACAAATTGCCATCCCTTCATCAGCTATGCAAATTCAGACTCAAGTTCAAGAAGAGGATCTGAAGTGTCTGGTGCATTTCCTCAACACAATTCTACCCACTTTTCAGCCAGTTGGGAGGCCCAATGGCAGGTTGCTAAAGCTGAGGATGAAGGTGTGTTGCTTCCTCTGCTCACTGTCCTCTAACGTGGTTAGTCTACCAGATGAGGAACTTTAAATCTATGGATCTTTTTTTCTTTTTTGATAAAAATATTTTAAATTCCACAAACTGCAATGCAAATATTTACTGTAGAAAAGACAGATGAGGAGCTGGTCATGGTGCATTTACTAGCAATTAATGAACTGAAGAAAATAAAGCAAGAGGGTTGTGAGTTTGAGGCCAGCCTGGGCTATACAGTAAGATCCCATCTAAAACAAAAAACAGATGGGTTAAGGAAACTAATAAAAACCACCAGCAATTTCATCTCTCAGAGAGGTAACCACTGTTACAGTGTTCACTATATAGTTTTGTCCACATTCTTCTGTGCATTATGTATTTTCTGAAAGAATAAAGTCTTCCTGATAGAAATTCCAACCTCTTCCACATAGCTGTTATAATCAATCTTTCACATAAAAAATATACCACGTGGGGCGTGGTGGCGCATGCCTTTAACACCAGCACTCGGGAGGCAGAGGCAGGTGGATCTCTGTGAGTTCAAGGCCAGCAGGGGCTACAGGAAGACCCTGTCCCTCAAAAAGACCAAAGTTCTCTGGCCCCTACAGACACTCATGCACACTTGTACACACACACACACAAACACACACACACACACACTTTACATTTTTATTCTTTGTATCTCACCTTTCATAAACTGTATTGGAAGGCATCTCAGTGGCCAATATTCCACTTCTACAAACAGTACAAAATCTGTACTTAATCTTTGCACACATGCACTGCAAAAAGTGCCTTCAAGATAGGTTACACAAATTTACATTCATTCCAGTAATACAGGTATGAGAACATTTCTTGGAAAGAAAAACAGGATTAGCATTTTGGTAACTTCTTTCCAGGTAGAACTCTGAAGCCTAGATGTCTCCTTCTAAATTAACAGGACATGAGCAACTGAGAGAACTTGATAAAACTTTTCTAGTTCCTGCAAAGGACTAAGTATCTCTTCTAAGGGAATTACCTTTCGAAGCCAGCCAGGACAGGAGCTGCTGGCCCCACAACTGTTCCCCATGGCCTCAGTGGGACTGATTAAACCTTCCATACCACGGTCTGCTTCCATTGTTCCCCGGAAGCCTCCACTCGGGTCAGGAGTTTCAGATTCCTGCTGACTGTCTTCCTCTTCACCGCCACCACCACCACCGCTTCCTGGGCTAGAGCTTTGAACCACTAGATACATGATACAGGAGGAGAGAGTTTTGCTATGCAGTAGAAAAGATTTATTGCCTGACAATCCATCATCCCTAAAAGGTTCCTGGAGTGGTAAGTCAGATATTTGACACTAAGTTTTTTTTTTTTTGGGGGGGGGTCTTTTTGAGACAGGGTCTCCCTGTAGCCCCAGCTGTCCTGGAACTCACTATGTAGACCAGGCCTGCCTCTGCCTCCCAAGTGCTGGGATTAAAGGCGTGCGCCACCATGCCCAGCTGGATGTTTCTTTTCTAACGCAGTATATTCCAGACTACTGTAACAATGATAGCTGAGGTGTGATCAGGAAATGAAATTGGATTTTAATACAATCAAAGAAAAATATAAGAAAATAATTTGTCAAAGCTAAAAACAAAAAACCACCACTAAAACTGAATAGCATATTTCAAGGTTACATATATAGTACTGCTTGCTGTCCTAAGAGACACTGTTTGAGGACTGACTCTATGATCCTACTGAAGGAGTCTAAGTAGTGACAGTCAAACAAGCTCTTGAAGCTTTTTGGCTTTAAATAGCTTTTAATAATTATGTTTGTGATAAACACAAAGCCTTTTTTTTTTTTTTTTTTTTTTTTTGAGACAGTCTCCCTGTAGTCCCAGCTGGCCTGGAACTCACTATGTAGACCAGGCTCCAGGCTGGCCTTGAACTCACAGAAATTCACCTGCCTCCACCTGCCTCTGCCTCCCAAGTGCTGGGATCAAAGGTGTGCGCCACTATGCCTGGTTTTTTTTTTTTAGATCTGGAACTTATTAGGTAGACTAGGCTGGCCTCAATCTCATAGAGATCTGTTTGCCTCACCCTGCCCACACAAAGCCAGTATATATATATATTTTTAATATGTATGAGTGTATTGCCTGCATGTATGTGAATGCACCCACATCGTGCAATGCCTCAGAAGTCAGAAAAAGGCATCAGATCCCCTGGAACTGGAGTTACAGATAGTTGTTAGCCGCCATGTGGGTGCTGGGGATTGAACCCGGGTCCTCTGCAAGAGCAGACATTGCTATTAACCACTGAGTCATCTCTCTAGCCCACAAGGCCATTTTTAACACATGTGCAAACTTTGATGTTTAGCTGTAAAATACAAATATGTGATTCTATCATTAAAAGAGCTATAATTGTGCTATTCCCGTATGGTATCCACTAGCTGTATGTAACCACTTAAATTTAAATAAAACCAAAATTAGTTCCTCGGTTACACAGTGACCAGATGACACGCTCTCAGTGTTCAATAGGCACATTTGAAGCTGGAGCTACTATTCTGGACAGCACATCTAGAGAACATTTCTTCGGTCACATAAAACTCAGTTGGAGGCAGGGATTGGAGAGATGGTTCAGTGGTTAAGAGCACTCACTGGCTGCTCTTGCAGAGGACCTGGGTTTGAGTCCCAACACCTACATGGTAGCTAACAACCGTCCATAACTCCAGTTCCAGGGGATATGATGCCCTCTAGGCCAGCCAGGGTTATATAGTGAGACCCTGTCTCAAAAATCCAAACCAAACCACCCCCCTGCCTCACGCTTTTATTTACTTTTATTTTCTGCATGAGTATTTGCCTGCATGGATGTATGTGCCACGTGTGCCTGCAGAGGTCAGAAAAGGGCATCAGATCCCCTGGAACTGGAATTACAATTGTGAGCCACTATGTGGGTATTAGAAATGGAGACCAGGTCCTCTGCAAGAGCAGCGTTGCAGCGTTATTTATTTATTTATTTATTTATTTATTTATTTATTTTTAAATAGGGACCTGTAGCCCCCATCTGGCCTGGAACTCTTGATCTCACAGAGATTTGCCTACCTCTGCCTCCTGAGTTCTGGGATTCAAGTGTGCACCACCATGCCCAGCTAGCAAGTGCTTGTCATTGCTGAGGCATCTCTCTAGCTCAGCTCCTGAGAGGCTACTTTAAAGGTAGAATTTTAGACTGAAATACTTGGAACACTATGGAAATAAAATGCCCACAGGATGGTAAAGAGAATAGTGTCCACGTCCCATCATAGTGTGGAGCCAGCCACTTAATCACTTCCTTATATGATGGAGGCACAGAAGATGCACTGTCTCCCTGACAAGGTAAAAATCATGACACTGTGAAACTCACCAAATTACTCTCTTAATCACTCTATCCCTCAACCCAAAGAATAAACTGGTACCTGGGGCACCACTACATACCAGTTCCAATTGACAGTCCACTGCTATTAGAACGGATAGTCTTCGAATTCAGTACTTTCTCTGGGGAAAAATATTCAGTAGGTAAGCACTGTATATAGACATTGGCAGGAAAAGTGAAGACAGATGACAAGGAGGAAACGTACACAGTAGCTGCTATACCCAACTCCAGATAACCTTATAACCTTATGATTATATACTCTTCAGAAAGTAATCTCCTAAGTCAAATGCTATTAGCTACCGTTAACTATATTTGCTATCTAAAGTGGCAGTTTTCCACTTTGCTATTCACTGGAATCACCAGTGAAGTTTTAGAATATAACAATGCCTATGTCCCACCCCAGAGACATTGATCAAGGGTAGAGTTAGGACAGGGTTTGTAAAAGCTTCAAAGTTTCTTTTAAAAGATGTATTGAGCTGGGTGTGGTGGCGGACGCCTTTAATCCCAGCACTTGGGAGGCAGAGGCAGGGGATCTTTGTGAGTTTGAGGCCAGCCTGGTCTACATAGTGAGTTCCAGGTCAGCTGGGGCTACAGGGAGACACTGTCTCAAAAAGATGAAAAAAAAAAAAAAGATGTACTGAATGTTTCTTGAGAAAGCACAAATACAGATAACACATAAATTAATGGATAAATGGAAGTAACAAATTTTATGGTGTGTATATAGGGGGGAATGGGAATGGAGTTCAAAACCGTCATATTTTTTTGAGACAGGGTCTCACAGTGAAGCCCTGGCTGGCCTGAAACAAGTATGTTCCTGCCTTAGACTCCAGAGTGCTAGGTTTACAAGGTGTATACTACCACACCTGGCCAAAATTGGCATATTTTAAAAAATGTCCAAACTAGGTATAGTGGCACATACCATAATTCCAAAACTTGGGAGGCAGAGACAGGAGGATCAGAAGCTGAAGGTCATCCTTGACTACACAGTGACTCTGAGATCAGTCTGAGCTACCTGAGACCCTGCCAAAAAAGAGGGAGGAAAGGAGGGAGGGAGGAGAAGAAGGGGGGGAGAAAGGAAGGAAGGGAAGGAGGGAGGAAAGAAAAGAGGGAAGGAGGGAGTGAAGAAGTCCAAGAGAAAAAATAGCAAATGGCTAAGTTAGGAAATGACAACGTTCTGTTCCTTTATGCACAGCATTCCTAACCATTACAGACTTACAGAAACAGCACCTTTTCCTGAGGACACTTCTGTTTCTAACACTGTCACCACCAGAATCTTGGGTATAAGTCAATCTTATCCAAGCCATTCCAAATCCACATATATGAAATCCTTACCAACAATGAGAATGGTGTGCCAGCCACGGCAGGAAAGGTCTGGGACATGATGAAGAGATCCAAAAATAGGCCGAGGCCATGAGGTGCAGATGTCAGAGCCATGTGGTCTCTCAGTGGGAGTCATCGCCAGACGCCCATTACCACCATTACCCCAGGCAAAAATGTGATTATCTAGAAAAGGATCAAACAGAAGATTAACCCAACACTAACTTTCCAATTCTTTGGGTAACCCACTATGACACCCTAGAGTGAGAATGAGGGAAAGCTGATTATTTCTCTCTCTCTTTTTTTTTTTTTTTGGTCTTTTTGAGACAGGGTCTCTCTGTAGCCTCAGCTAGCTATATAGACCAGGCCAGCCTTGAACTCAGAGATCCCCCTGCCTCTGCCTCCCAAGTACTGGGATTAAAGTTGTGCATCATCATGCCTGGCGATTATTTCTCTATATAAAGCCTAAACTCTTCCAGACCCCATCCAGGTAAAAACATCCACTGCTCCTATGTGATGTCATTCATTCATTCATTCATTCATTCATTCATTCATTCATTCACTCCTTCATTCAAATACACACAAGAATCTACTTCATACTAGGTGCTGTTCAAGGTGACTGAGAAGAAAACAAAATGAAGTCCTTGCTCCAGTGGGGTAGAATGATAACACATAAACAGCTGTCTCATATTTCAGATAGTGGTGTTATGAAAGATAACTGGTGGTGAAAAATAATGAGAGAAGTAACAGATGATGGGATTTCATTATTTTAGAGAAGGTGGTCAGAGAAGTACTTAAAAATTTTTTTTAATTTATTTTATGTGTATGAGTGTTTTGACTGCATGTAAGTGCACCTATGTTGTGCAATGCCTGAGGAAGTAAGAAGAGGGTGATGGATCCCCTAGAACTGGAGTTAAGGGTGGTTGTTAGCTGCCAAGTGGGTGCTGAGAACCAAACCTGGGTCCTCTGCAGGAAGAGCCAGTGCTCTTAACCACTGAGCCATCTCTCCAGTCCCAGAGAGAAGTACTTTTTGACACCTGAGCAGAGATCTAATTGAACTGAGGAAGTTTTCAGGCAGACTTAAGAGGGAGAGTAAGTCTGCTTAGGTGAGGACAGTAGCACAAACAGAGAACAAGGAGGTCCCTATAGCTAGAGCAAATTAAGAGAAAGGAGCAGGTAGTTGGAAAGGTCAGAGGTGCCTGGAGTCCTAGTCATCTGGGGCCATGCAAGTCATTATAAAGATTTTAGTTTTGGGCTGGAGAAATGGCTCAGCAGTTAAGAGCACCGGCTGCTCTTACAGAGGACTGGGGTTCAAGTCCCAGCACCCACATGGTGGCTAACAACCATCTGTAACTCTAGCTCCAGGGGATCCAATGCCCTCTTCTGACCTCCATGAGCACTGCACAACACACGTGCACTTCATGTACATGCAGGCAATATACTCACACACATTAAAAAAAAAAAGACTAGTTTTTCTGGATATAGAAAACCATTAGAAGTTTTGGATAGATGGGTAGATGGTATTTAAAAGATCCCTGAGGCTATGAGGGGGGCCAACTGCAGAGGAGCAAGGGTAGAGGAGCAGAGACCAGCTGTAGTAGTGCTGATGGCAAGAAGTTGTTGGATATTCTGAAGATAGTCAATAGGATTGGCAATGGATAGGATGGAGGATGGAGGATAAAGGTGCCATCTGATGAGGCTTTATCCTACATATCCTGATGAGTCTTTGAGAAGTTGTCAGATATTCTGAAGATAGTCAATAGGATTGGTGAGAGAGAGGATGGAGGATGGAGGATAAAGCTGCCATCTGATGAGTCTTTATACTACATATCCTGAGGAGTCCACAGAAGCACAGGTCTGGGTAGAGAATTAGAATACACTAAGTCTGATGTGCCAAAACCAGAATCCTGATTCTTATTCCAATCAGGTGGCTGCTGCTGCTTCTTTTTTTTTAAATGAAAGGACATGTTAATAATGATCATGTGAGGACAAGAGATACGAATCAGGACTCATGTAGGACAAAGCTACTTTAACTTTAGACATCCAAGTTGAGCAAAGATGGCAATATAAGCTGCAAGGTACAGGGGGAATATAAAGGAATGAGCTCACTTTGGAGAAGAGGACTGAGTCACAGGAGGAAGGGATGTTTCTATCATGGCACCTGACAGACTGCCTGTGTGCTTCTCTTTAGCCACTCAAGTCAACACTGATTGGGACCAATATGGTACTGGATAACATAGAGAGAAGTACTTAATGGTTCTAGAAACATTTTATCAAAAATGTTAAAATTAAAGTAAAATTGGGCAAACACAATATTAACTTGCTATTATCTAGAAATCTGACAGTTAAAATAATTTACTATATTGAGGGGCTGGAAAGACAGCTCAGTGGTTAAGAGCACTGGCTGCTCTTGCAGAAAACCCAGGTTTGGTTCCTAGCACCCACATGGTGGCTAACAACTGTCCATAACTTCAATTCCAAGGGATCTGATGGTCTTCTGGCCTCCATAGGCATTGCATGACATAGGTGTACTTGCACACATGCAGGCAAAACACTCACACACATAAAATAAAAATAAATTAAAAAAATTTTTTTTAAGTTACTATATTGGACATATGAAAACTTTAATGAAGTTCAATGTACAACTAACTGGTTGGCCCATGATCTAATACAAATGAAAAAATAAAAACATAAGTCAGACAAAAACTATTCTTTCCCAATCAAGAATTAAGGCAGTCATCTAGACTAGAAAGGCAGTCTATAAAGTGTAAAAGACATGCAGACTTACCATCAGTGGCAGCAATGGTGAATTCATCGCCACAGGAGACCCTGATCACTTGCTTCCCACCAAGGGGTCCCCCCAACAGGTTGATTCCGAGGCGCTTCTTATAATTCCCAACACCTAGCTGCCCACACTTATTACAGCCAAAGGTCAGCAGCCGGCCTCGTTCTGAGAGAGAAGCAAAAATAAACAGCCAAGCACAAATGGGTTATGGCACAGAGGGAAGACATAGCCAATGCAGTCCACGCATTAGCTTCCGGCTGTTGGAAGATAAACATGAAGCTACCCATATGATCCTAGACCCATGACAGCTAGGTATTTAGGTACTATGACCAGTCAGAACCACTAAGTGATCATGGCATTTTTTTCTCCAATACTGCATTTTTAGAAATTATTTTACTTACTCATTTACTTGTGGGGGAGGGGGCAGGGTGCACATGCCACAGTGGGAATGTGAAGGGTAGAGACAACTTTCAGGAAGCGGTTCTCTCCTTCCACCATGTGGGTAACTGGGATCAAATTCAGGTTGTCAGGCTTGGGATGCCTTTACCTGCTGAGTCATCTTATTGGCCTTAATACTACATTTTTAATGTAGAAAATGAGTATTATCTTAACTTAGAATACTTAGAGTAGGTATCAATAAAAGACCATCGAAGCCAAAAGTTATGTGGCTTTTTTTTTTGAGACATGATCTCCCTGTAGCCCCAGCTAGCCTGGAACTTTCTATGTAGACCAGGCTGGCCTTGATCTACAGTGGTCCATCTGCCTCTGCCTTCCAGCTGCTGGGATTAAAGGCATGTGTCATCATGCCTAACTTAAGTGTGGCATTCTTATCAGAGGACAATTTTTTTTTGTATATATAATGGTTATTAAAAAAAAAAATCTGTGCTTGAATGCCTAATTTGTTAATGAGGTAATACTGAATACTAGGGAGAAGTCAGAAGGATGCACATGTCATTAAAAAAGATGATACTGGGGCTGGAGAGATGGCTCAGTGGTTGAGAGCAAAGGCTGCTCTTACAGAGGACCTGGGTTCAGTTCCCAGCACCCACATGGCAGCTAAGGGCAATCCTAGCTCCACTTCCAGGGTAATCCAATGCCCTCTTCTGACTTCCCGGGGCACTCCATGATACGGGTGCATTTACATGCATGCAGGCAGTAGTCACACACATACAAAAATAAAAATAAAGTATTAAAAAAAAAGCTAATACTTCACAATCTAAAATACCTGAGCTCTGAAGGCATGTGATACAACTGAAAGCCAACTTACCATCAATAGCAGCTGTGTGAGTCTTGCCTGGGGCAATGGTACGGATTTTATAAAAAGACAGTTGTTTGGCCAAGGTAAAGGAGGTTGTGTAGGGAACTTCATGGTAAGCCTGAAACAAGTAAAATACAGAGCAAGGATTCATGAAGCAAACAATGGAGGGATAATCAGGCTGAGGATGGAAAAGGGTCATTAAGACCAAAATGCCTTTCTTTTTAGAAAAAAAAATTTTTATTATTTTTACTTTATGTGTATGAGTAAAGTATTGCCGGCATGTATGTGAGTGCACTCGTGTTGTGCAATGCCACGGAGGTCTAAAGAAGGCTTTGGATTCCCCTGGAACTAGAGTTAAGGACAGTTTGTAGCCACCATGTGGGTACTGGGAATCAAATCCGGGTCCTCTGCAAGAGCAGTCAGTGCTCTTAACTGCTGAGCCATCTTTCCAACCCCCAAAAATGCCTTTCAAACAAATCCTGTTATTAAGAGGGTGCCAGGTAGCTTTTGATCTTCAACAGAACACAAGGTTCTGTTGTGGACTGTGGCATAAGCAGCAGGAATTCTTGTTTATATAATTTTACCTTCTGAATTAAAGTGTGCAAGACAAGAACTATCTTTGAAGCTACTGATACAAGGATAGAATCACTGACATCTGTGGTGGTTACATACTCTGCCCATCTAACTGGGGCAGGGCAAAACTGAAACTCTGTCCAGCCTACAAAGAAATCAGTTATATTGTGATCTAATTCTACCTACAGGATAGTGTTTCACAGAATTTCAATATGCAAATTCCTTTGAATTGGTATAAAAATGTTCTCTCACGTAAATTTAGAGTTCACAACAAACCCACATTTTAATAAACCACAAAATCAAACAGTAATTCTGAAGATGCCTTTCAAACTGCACACACTCTCCTGCTTTTGGCCCTGAGTTTGTGCTTTCCTAAGACTCACAACTTCAGACACTGCATAAAAAATAGCTCACCTTTTCACTGTCAGGATACTGTATTTTAACTTGATTAAAAAAAATTATTTATTTTTAAAAATTTGATGGTGAAGAAAAGGAGCAGGGAACAGACTTGATTCTTTTTTGTTTTTTGAGACAGGCTCCTATAATCAGCTGGCCTATAACTCATTATGCAAACCAGGCTGGCATTAATCTCACAGAAATCCACCTGCCTCTGCCTCTTGAGTGCTAGAATTAAAAGCCTGTATCGCCTTGCCCGGCTGATTTTTTAAAAAATTATTTTTATGTGTATGTGTTTTGCCTTCACATACAGAAGTGTACCACGTTAGTACAATGCCTGCAGAGGCCAGAAGAGAGTGTTGGATCCCTTGGAACTGGAGTTATGGATGGTTGTTAGCCACCATGGGGTGCTGGGAACTTAACCCTGTAAGGTCCTCTGTAAGAACAGCCAGTGCACTTAACCACTGCCATCTCTCCAGTCCCTTAACTTGATTCTTACAAAGTCATCACACTAACATGAAGAAGAAACTAAAAGTTATTATCAATGGTGGATTTCATGACATCCCTGAAGGGGGATGTAGGTCTGTAGGTCTATATGGGAGCAGTGTTTTGGAAGCCGTAAATCTGAAAATATCTACAGGGGAAATATTTCTTTTTCATAATATGATATTTTCTTGTCCCTATTTCAATGATAGGTAGAACCTGAACCCTATCATTTTATCCTTTACAATCAATTTTATTGAGGAACAACAGCAAAATCTACTGCACAGCTTCACACACACACATACATACATATATATATATATTTTTTTTTTTTTTGCTACATTTGTGGGGTTTTTTTTCCTTTTGGTATTTTGAAGACAGGGTCTTGCTACATATCCCAAGTTGGCCTCAAACTCAAGATCCCCCTGCCTCAGTTTCCTGAGTGCTAAAATTAATGGCATGCACTATCACTATCATGTCCAACCGCTACACACACATTTATAAATTCACCACCCTAATCAAGATAGAGACCATTCCCATCACCCAAGGATCTTCAGGTGACTCTTCTACTTATTTGGTTAAGACCCCCAAACCCACCAAAAAACAAAAAGAAAAAACAAAATATAAATACCTATACCCCTCCCAGAAGTCACTTCTATTTTGATTTCTGCCATCATGTTAATTTTGCCTATTCCTGAACCTCACATATCTGTAATCGTATCCTATGAACTCTTGTGGCTGGCTTCTTTTGCTGAACATAATGTTTGTGAGACCATTTTATTCTTAAGTCAAATTCCATGGTCACTAACCAATAATAAAGAAATCCTAACCCAGAGAAGTTCTGCCAGTGTGGTTAGGACCCTGAGGGGTACTCACTTCATGGTTAATGATTCCAGACATGCACTGATTCAGACCTAGTTTGTTAAACTCGTTGAGTCCACAAGCCAGGACTTTGCCTGACTGTGTCAGCAGGAAGGTCCCATCACAGCCACACTGAACTGCAACAATAATTAAGGCCTTGGGAACATCCACCTGCAAGGAAAAAATAAATTGGCAAGAAAATCCCAAGTACATAATTCATGTTAGAAAACACCCTCAAGTTCTTTCAACATGCTGCCCAGCAGCTTCAAGGTCACTCTTCCTAACAGAGACGATAAGGAGAAGGCTGCAGTTCCAGAATAAATAGTCTCTGTCAGTTTGTTTTGGGAATAGGTCCTGTTTCTTTGGAGTCTTCTGCAGAAAGGGAGACTATTCAGACCAAAAGTTGGGAAAGAAGCAGCTTTAATCCTGGCTGGCTCTTTCCTCTAAGAATGAGGGCTCCTTGATAATTTTAAAGAAACTCAGTAGCCTCAAGGGACCCAAACTGGCCATTTTAGATAGTGTACTGTGGCAGCAACTAGGACTTCCACATCCTTATAAAGCTCACTAGACAGGATTGGAGAATGAGGGATGAAGATGGGACCACAGATACATGTAAAGCCTCTAGTCTGTTTCTTTCCAGGAGAGGAATGGCTGTCAAGCCTAAGGACAGTCTCTGTAAGTGGCATTTAATGTTCAGGATGTAAATAAAAATTGGTAATAGTAAACAGTGTAGTACTACAGTTGGTGGCAGTCAACCTTCCAGTATCAGGTAGGCCTGGGCCCCAGGAATACTTAAGAGGTGTGACTGAGATTGTCCCTCAGCTGGCTTTAGGTTCTGTGAGCCTCTCAGTGTCAGCTTTGACAGTCCTGACACTAATCAGATAAAATGGCTCATGCCACAGGGTCCCTAAGCAAAAACAATGTCACCTGGTGTTCAACTGTTAGTAATCAGAAGGACAAAGGTCTGGTTGGAATAAGAGATAATATATTTATTGCTTTTCAATATCATCTTTTCTTTCTTTTTTTAAAAATTATTTTTATTTTACATGTATGCTTGTATTGCCTGCATGTAGGTAAGTGCACCCATGTTGTGCAATGCCCGTAGAGGTCAGAAGAGGCTGTAGGATTCCCTGGGACTGGAGTTATGGACAGTTGTTCGCTGCCATGTGGGTGCTGGGATTCGAACCCAGGTCTTCTGCAAGAACATCCAGTATTCTTAACTGCTGAGCCATCTCTTCAGCCCCCATCTTTCTTTTCTTAAAGATAGATTTATTTATTGTATGTGTATGTGTTTTTGCCTGAGTCAGTTTATATGCACCATATGCATATGCAGGGGCCCACAGAGGCTGGAAGAGGATGTTGTATCCCCCAGAGTTACAGGTGAGCCACCTTGTGGGTGCTGGGAAACAAACCTGGGTCCTTTGCAAGAGCAGTAAGTGCATTTAACTGTTGAACTATTCTGCCAGCCCTTCCAACATCTTAAGGAGATTTAGCTATATGTATTTTTTTCTATTGTCTATGTTGGCTTTAGCTTCATCTCTGAGGAAGGTGTTACCCACAATGTCCAAAATAGCTACATCCACTTTCTTAACTCTGTGCTTTAGTCAGATGACAAGACTACATAGTGTTAAATCAGGAATCCCAGATTGTAAGTCTCCTGGAAGACAAGAAATACTTAAATTCTCTGATATGAGGAGTCAGAGAGAGAGGGAGAGAGAGAGAGAGGGGGGATATCTTTTTGGAGTCTGTGTGATTTATATAGGCTATAGAAAGAAGCTGCCTTTGATTTTACCCTCTGTGGTGTATAGTAATCCTCTTCTGAATCCAAACCTAGTCGTCCTGAAACACATGTAAGAAAGTCATTATCAGGAGGGTTTTCTCTAGGAAGATGTTCTACAGCACTGTCTTACTGATTAACATTTCTTTTTTTCTTTTCCATTTTTTAGCCACAGCTGGTCTAGAATTCACTATGTAGATCAAGCTAACTTGAATTCACAAAGATCTGTCTGCCTCTGCCTCCTGAGTACTGGGATTAAAAGCATTCACTACCATACCTGGCTCTTTTAAAAAATATTATGTGACTATGTGTGTGGGTATGTGTACATGAGAGCAGGTGCCTACAGAAGCCAGGGACATTAGATCCCCCAAGAGCTAGAGTTACAGGTGGTTGTGAACCACCCAACTGGACTGCTGGGAATTGAACTTGGGTCCTCTGGAAGAGCAGTATGTGGCTCTTAACTGTTGAGTCGTCTCTCCAGTCCAGAATTAACATTTCTTTTTAAAATTTTATTTATTATTTATATTTTGCCTCGATGTGTGCAATGTCTATGCAGGCCAGAAAAGGGCATCAGATCTCTCTAGAACTGGAGTTACAGATGGCTGTTGGCTACCATGTGGGTACTGGGAATTGAACTGGGGTCCTCTGCAAGAGCAGTCAGTGTTCTTATCTGTTGAGCCATTTCTCTAGCCCCCAGAATTCACATTTCTTGAAAAAAGGATATGTGATATATTTAGATGCACAAAGGCCAAAATCAGGGTGAGCATCTGAAGAAGTGGAAAAAACAAGGCTTAACCTACCATATTCCCCACAGCCCCAAGAATAGACTTCCTTATTTCGTGTCAGAACCACCACATGATTATCCCCACAGGAGACCTGCTCCACTGGATTGCTGAGGAAGAAGTTCAGCTGCATGGGTTCTAGAACTTCAGGGCCAGAAATCTTGTCTACTCCCATGCAGCCATAATAATCTGATCCAAAGGCATAGAGCTGACCCTCATCTGCAAAAGGAAAGAAAACCCATCATAGGAAGGAATCCTTTTGTCCAATCAGAAAGTGGCCAGAGCTGGAATGATGATTACCTTGGCCAGTGGTCTCACATGAGATATGATACCATCAGATGTCAGAAGGGTAGACCAAACAGATCTAGAGCTGTTCATAGTTAGGGGGTCATATGTAGTATTACTATTATAATAAACAGTTTTAAAAGTTGTAGGATTATTATACCAAATGATCTTAAAGTTTTCTTGAAGCATTCCCTATTTGGTAGATAGAAATACCAAGGAATCATAAAGTAAGTAATGTCAAGATCAAAACTAAATGTAACTCTTGATTTTGTGTCATTCACAGCCAGAAGAGGTGATGAAATTATTTTCTCCCCCAAATAGGACACACAGTACATTTTTTCTATCTCACCCTTCTCTGCCATCCACCTGCCTCCTCCTTGCTCATCATTCCCTATTTACTACAGCAAATTGGGAAGTTTTTCTTTCTTTTTCTCTCAGTGCTGGGAACTGAACTTATGGCCTTGCATATGCTAGGCAAGTGTTCTACTGCTAAGTACATCCCCAAATTGGGAATGCTGCTATTAGTGAGCATATTTGCTTGATGTCTTTTGGTTTTTTGGATACAGTCTTGCTATAAATTGCATAGCATTTGCATGATGCCCACATTAAATGCACTCAAGATGCTTTTTACTAGTGGCTTACCTGTCACACAGACAGTGAAATCATCACCACATGACACTTGACGGATAGCTTTGCCTTGCAACTTTTCCACATGCTTTGGCTGCCGATAGGAAGCTTTGTCTCCATGGCCTAGCTGACCATGGAGCTTAGTACCCCCTTGCATGTTCTGTGAAATAAAGAGGTCTTGTGAAGTCATAATTTTTTTTTAAAAATATTTTATTATTTTTATTTTATGTGTATGTGTGTATTGCCTGCATGTAGGTAAGTGCATCTGTGTCATGCAATGCCTGCAGAGGACAGAAGAGACTGTCAGATCCCCTGGAACTGGAGTTACAGACAGTTATTAGCTGCCATGCGGGCGCTGGGATTCAAACCCAGGTGTTCTGCAAGGACACCCAGTGTTCTTAGCTGCTAAGCCATCTCTCTTGCCCCAGTTATAACTTTTCATGCTGAAAGTGAATCTTTAATATCAATTCTTATGAAGACAAATAGGAAAAAAATAGCTTGAAATTTAAAGATAAAAGTGGATAAAAGGATTAAGTTTTTTAATGGTTAGTATTCTTTCCCAGCCAACAGGTAAGATTTCAAAGTATATCCAGATTCATATCTATCAGGCAACAATAAAACTTTCCCAATTTTGTTTTCATTTTAGTCTAAGATGAACTAATGTTTAACTATGGGTGAGATTAAAAAGTCCATTATAGACACTGCTTTCTAAATGAGTATAACCTCTTGAAAATCTATCTGTACTAGAAGTTTTATAAATTTTGGTCAGCTTCATTAAAACAGAACAGCTTAAAAAATATAGCTATATCAAAAAGAAAAAAACAAGAAAGAAAAAGAGAAGAATCTGACTATGTCAAAGAAGTTGCTCTACAGCAACAAGACAGCCCTTGTGACTGTGTAACCATTTTATAGAGATAGGCAATTCTTTCCATTCGGTGATTCAAGTACAAGCCCTTAAACAGTTTTAAGGCATTACTTTTATTCCACCTCTGGTACATGCCCTGAGCCTCAATTTTCAAGGGGTGGGAAACAAGAGAAGATTATCACTCTATACCAGAGGCCAGATCACTTGAGCTTTTAATATTTCACATACTGTTTACTCTTACACGGTGGAGATAAAGCTATGTATATAAGACAAATACAGTTCATGTGCCTGTGATACAGCTAGCTGAAGCCACAGAAAAACAGAAGAGCTCCCCCAGAGTGGATCAGGGGTGTAGGCCAGGGTGGCTAAGAAAAAGCAGCCTGCAATACACCTAAAGAAGACACAGCAATGAGACAAGAAGAAACTAAGACAGCATGCTATCACAGAAGCCTCTAGACAACAGCCTCGAGAAGGAAGAAGAGTCAATCACACTCAATACTACCAAGAGGCCACCAGGTAAGGATTTTAAAAGTTTTTAGGTCAATGGTCAAGACCCATTTTAAGTGGGTGGCAGGCACGAAAGCTGTACTGTAGGTGAGTGAGGAGAGTGGGTGATAAGGAAAAGGCAGAAAACATATAATGGCGCACACCTTTAATCCCAGCACTCAGGAGGCAGAGGTAGGTGAATCTCTGTGAGTTCTAGGCTAGCCTAGTCTACATAGCGAGTTCCTATGGGGAAGTGGGGCTACAGGGAGACCTTATCTCAAAAGACTCAAAAACACAAGTTGTGGGGGAGAGCTGGAGAAATGGTTCAGTAGTTAAGAGCACTGGTTGTTCTTACAGAAGACCTGGGTTCGAATCCCAACACCCACATGGCGGCTAACAATCCTCTGTAACTCCAGTTCCAGGGGGATCCAATTCCCTCTTCTGTCCTCTGTGGGCATTGTATGACACAGGTGCACTTACATACATGCAGGCAATAAATTCATACACATAAAATAAAAATAAAAAACAAAGACAAGGGAAACTGGGTGTGGTGTACATGCCTATAATTTAACATTTGGGAGGCTGAGGCAGGAGAACTGATGCAAGTTTGAGATCAGCCTGGACTACATAGTGAGTTCCAGGTCATCTTGGAAGATACGACCTTGCCTCAAAAAAAAAAAAAAAAAAAAAAAAAGGAACAATAGACAGAAAGGAAGAAAGAAGATAAATGATAGGGCAGAACTTCATGGGAATAGACACAGTAACTGACATGTCTGGACCATCCAGCTGTCAACACCAGCCCAGTCTCCTGAGTCCAAACCCAAGGCTCTTTCAATTTTTCCTCCCTCATTCATGTATCCAAAAACATTCATGGATGACCTAGAATGCCCAGGAATGGTGAAACATCAGTAAACTACACAAACCACACGCCTGTTCTCCCAAGAGCTTATGTTCCATTACACTGTGTCAGTACTGCAGCACAGGGTCCGCTAACAAAATGCTTAGGTATCCTGGGACCAGTAAGCAACAAGGCTTTCAGAACTGCTCCACTTACCACCCAGGTGTACAGTTCCTTCTCCACTGTGACCACAGCAAAATGGGTGTTCCCTGCGCACACCTGTCGGGCACTACAGCCACTCTTGATGACATCCAATTTCTGGGGAGTGGATTTTCCGCCACCCCAAACATAGACTTCACTGGTTCGTGATGTTACCACAGCAATAGGTGCTTCAGTCACGGTGCTTGACCTGCCAGCAACCCCCAAACAAAGGAATATTTAACATAAAAATGGTATCAAAGAGGACTGTTTGGGCTGGGATTGTAGCTCAGTTGGTAGACTGCTGCCTTAACGACTATCTGACATTGAAGCAGATGATGGCTCCTAAAATGACACCACAGGCTATTGGGATCAAATAAAGCATAGGCCCACGTCAGTCTCCCATGTCGGGAATTGAGGATATATAGCATTAATTTCCATGAAGTCTCTTGAGCATTACCTTGGTCTCTTTGTAGGTGCATTAAGCAGAGTGACTTTTTCTTCCATCTCCCTACCAAAAGAAAAACAACATGAGTAAAATAATAGATTCATACATTGCAACCATGTGCTTTTGATGTATTTCATGGACTTAGTTTTATCAACCATATGCATTCTATAAAAAGACAATACTTTTTTTTTTTTTTTTTTTCCGCTTTTTTTAAAGACAGGGTCTCCCTGTAGCCTCAGCTGGCCTGGAACTTGCTATGTAGACCAGGCTGGCTTCTATCTCACAGAGATCCTGTGATATCCCTCTGCCTCTGCCTCTGCTGGGATTAAAGGCATGAGCCACCACACCTGGCTTTCATGATAATACTTTTACGTTAGGAAGGCACCTCAATACAACTGAGTTACATAGGCCTGACATTAGGGAACTTTTAAAAAGCTTAAATTTTATTATTTAATATATTAAAAAAATTTGTGTGTATGCGTATATTGCTTGCATGTGTGTAAGTGCACCTGTGTCATGCAGTGCCCAAGAAGGTCAGAAAAAGGTGTCAGATCCCCTGGAAGTTATGGATGCTTGTTAGATGCCAAGGTGGGTACTGGGAATTGAAACTAGGTCCTCTGCAAGAACAGTCAGTGCTCTTAACTGCTGAGCCATTTCTCCAGCCCCAACATTAGGTAACTTCTTAAATACAATGGGCCAGCAGTTTGGGACCTTTGCTTTGTATACATGAGAAACAGTCCTAGCTAGAACAGGGAGCCCTGAAAGTCTCTGATGCACATGACAGACAACTCCAGCTGGTCTGCCCTCTGACTCCCAAACCAAGCTAGTTTTTCTTTTTGGCTCCCCTATTTTTGTAACTGACAATACCCCTTCCTTTCCTCCCATTCAACATCAGTCATCTTTAACTGCCTCTCTCTCATTCTTCAGTATTTCATTTTTATGGATTCTGATGATACAACACCTTTTGCTTATTTGTTTTTAAATTTTTTTGAGACAGAGTCTCTCTTCAGCTTAGGTAAGCCTCGAGTTCATGATCTCCTGCCTCAGCCTTCTAAGTGCTGGGATTATAGGTGTGCACCACCATACCCAGCTACAGTACCTTTTCTACAATTCTTCCTGCCCAGTCTCATCACCTAGGTTCTACGCAGTTTTATTTCCCACCTGTGCTTCCTGGTCAGCTCCACTAAGAGAATCCTATCAGCTAACCTAACAACGGATAGTAGTTCTATTTTATGACTTCTCTGGGCACACCTCTCATCACATGAGCTATCCTCTAACAAATGCCTAATTCTCTTTTGAATTAAGCCTAGTTTTCAAGAGTCTCTACCCCACTTCCCTTTATAACTATGTTCTGGCTAGGGTTGTCATTCTGCACAAATCTATTATAGCTGAACTATTGCAGTAATGCTCAGGCATCAACAATTTTTTAAAGAGCTCATGAGAGCCCAAGTCTAGAAACTATTTGTCAGGTAGGATTTTGTGTTTTCTGAGTATTTACATAACTTCCTGTACTTATGCTTTTGGTTCTATTATTTTCTCTGCCTAAAAGATGGCATCTTATGTTTTACCATCAAAGTACAAAGGTCTACCAAAATAAAAATAATTCAATTAAAAATTATTTCAGGAAGAAATGAAAGCCAGCGGGGCATGGTAGTGCATGCCTTTAACCCTAGCACTCAGGAGGCAGAGGCAGGCAGATTTCTGTGAGACTGAGGCCAGCCTAGTCTACATAGTGAGTTCCAGGCCAGCTGGGACTGCAGGGAGACCCTGTCTCAGACAAAAAAGAAAAAGAAGAAAAGAAGAACGGAAGGAAGGATGGAAGGAAAACCATGATTATATTGTTGGTAAATAAACGAGAGAAAATTAAATATGCTAATGAGCCCCAAAAGATAACATTGCTTGAATATGCAGAGAACGTAAATAGAAGGTTACAGTGCTGATTCTGGACATATTTTAGATATTGAAATATTGGTTATAAAACTAGACCCCCGAGGCTCAGGGAACACTGGAGAAGGGGAAGAAAGAAGGTAAGAGTCAGAGGACAGGAATGAAGCTATGAAACTCTGTCTTCTGGACATGACATGGATGTACTCATGAACTCACTAGAGCTATGGGTACCTGCACAAGATCTGCACAAACTAAGTCAGCAAGATGAGTCAGTAGGCTAGCAGGCAGCACTAATTAGAATCAAAGGGGAGGGATGATATGAAGGTGGGAGGGGAAGTACTGGGGGAGTATCTGCAGGGGTGAGAAGGAAGAGTTGGAGCTGGATATGATCAAGATACATTATATACATGTATGAAACTGTCAAAGAATAAATAAAAGATATTCCAAGAAATGAATAAACAACTAGAAACCGGAAAAGACTGTGGAACAAAGATTTAAATGTACTCCAAACTATGGAACTATTAGAAGAAAATATAGTGGAAATATTTCAGGACATGAACTAGAGATTTTTATATACATATATTTCTAAAAGCACAGGCAACAATGACAAAAAATAAAAAATGGGATATATTAAATTAAAAAACCCTCTGTAGAGCAAAGAAAACAATCAACATAATGAAGAAATAACCTACAGAATGGGAGAAAATATTGGCAAACTTCATCTGATAAGGAATTAATTTCCAGAATGCACAAGTAAATTGAGCTATTCGATTAAAAAAAAGTAACCATAAGTCCATATAAAATGTTATTTAGACAATTATTTCTCATTGATGATTTTGTTTATAATCACAAAGTGCTGCTCAGATGTAAGACTTCAAATCTTGGTCTGCAATACTGTAGTGACCACCTGTACCTAAGGGAGACAACCCACTATTGTTCTAAAATGAACACTAAATTTGTTTTCTCCCCCATCTAGAAGCCTTTGAAGAAGGAACTGACAATGATTCTAGCCACTCCAACAGCTATCAAAGTGCCTAAAAACAAATCCTGAGTCCATCACTCTTCAGTCCAGCTTTGGCAGACAAAAGAAAAATGAGGAGAACCCAATGGAGGGATGCTTTTGGAAGCTCTCGTCAAGAAATTCCAATGGACTCTAATATGAACATTTGAAACTTGCCCTGTTTTGACTTTTTTCTGGTTCCCTGTCTAGAACTTGTAACTAATGCTAACTACTCTTGCCTTTACTTTTCCTTCACACCTCCTAGGCACCAGTCAAGGACTGTCTTTTCTCTCTACAGTCAAGAGTTATGCAATTTGGGAGTCTTTTAGGTAGACCCACTGAAGGGGTACCCCAATTGCCTCATCCTGCATCCCTGTTCAGCATGGAAGAAGCCAGAGTGGTCTGCATCCTGATTCCCTATCAGCAATTTGGGTAACCTCTTCAGGGGATGGTGTGATAAGAATAGGAGGTAGGAATTGGCTAGGCAGTTAGGGTTTAAAAAAAAAAACCCAAAGAAAAGTAGCCAGTTTCTTGGCTAAAAATCAAAATGTCCTTGGGCCACTTAGCAACATACTCTGTTCCAAAGGCCAAAAATGTCAAAAGTATTTGGGAGCTCTTGTCTAATTCCTGCTGCTTTCTACCTGGCTGGCTTCTCCCAAGGCCTCCAGTAGCAGATGAAGATGGGGGTGGGGCAAGTGGCTTGATTGTCCCAGGAACCTCAGGTGGAGAAGCCAGAGCTTAGAAACAGAAGATCTCTCTCTCCCCTACTGGAACCTGATTTTAAAAATAGTAAGCAATTTGAATAGACATTTCTAAAATAAATTAAAAAAATGACAAGTATGGAAAAAAAGTTCAACATCACCAATCATCAGGGAAAGCAAATCAAAACCATAGGAGAGAATCTCTCACTCTAATTAAAATGTTTATCACTAAAAAAGTAATAAATGCTGGCAAGGAGGTGGAGAAACAGGAACTTATATAGTATGGAGGCTCCTCAAAGAACTAAAAATAGACTGATGTATGCCTACAATCTCAGCACTTGGGAGGCCGAGGCAGGAGAATTGAGTTAGTTAAAGGCCAATGTGAGCTACATAGCAAAACCATGTCTCAAAAGAAGAAACAACAAAACCCCCTTAAAAGCAGAAATAACCATCTGGTCCAACAATCCTTCTACAAAGCGTATCTATAAGGGAACTGAAATCAGTACCCAGAGACATCTGCACTCGTGTTTATTCTCACATTGTTCACAATAGCCAGATACAGAATCAATGTTTGTGTCCATTGATGGATGAATGGATTTAAAAAACTGCAGAATATACACAAAGTAGTTATTTAGTCACCAAAAAGAGGGAGAGTCCATCATCTGCAGCATCATAGATGGAACTGGAGAATATTCATGAAATAAGTCAAGCTCAAACAAATACTGCGGGTTCTTCCTTAACATGTATCAGCTAGAAAGTTGAAGGAACAAGCAGAATACCAGTTATCAGAGCCTGGGCAGGTGTGTAAAGGAGCAAGGGCTAGAGAATAGATAGTCAAGGGTACATAAGTCCAGCTAGAAAAGAGAAAAACTTCTACTGCAGATCAAGATAACTATGGCTAACAACAATTCATTGAATATTTCAAATTGACCAGAAGAGAGCAATTTGAGGAACACAATGCAAAGAAATGATAAATGTCTCAGGGTATCGATAGCTGACAGCACTTAACTCTGATCTCGTCGCTATGCATACACATACACACACTGAAATGCCACACTGTGCCCTATAAATACATATACTCTGGCATTAAAAACAAAAGTATATTTAAAAATTGTAATTAGCTAGGTGTAGTGGCACATGCCTATAACCTTATCACTTAGGGATAGGAACAGGAAGATTAGAAGTTAAAGGTCATTCTCAGCTATACAGTGAATTTGAGGCCAGCCTGGTCTTCATGAGACTCTATCAAAAAAAGAATCCCTCTTCCTCTTCCTCCTTCCTTCCTTCTCTTCTTCCTCTTCCTCCTAATTAAAAGCCAGTTGTGGTGGCTCATACCTATAATCCCAGCACTCGGGAGGCTGAGGCAAGAGGATCATGAGTTCAAGACTAGTCTGGGCTATATAATGAGACCCTGTCTCAGAAAATAAAAACATAATAGTAACAATTAATTAAATGACACAATAACAATAAAGATACATTGACCAAACAGCAAAGATCATGGAATTAGGTATGTACTTAGTGCATTTAAGGACAAGACTTGAAAAGAGCATAGTGAATGTCTGAATATTTGGAGGACATAAAAATAGAGAACTTGCAGGAGGGAAGGGAAATAAAGCAAAAATAATGTAACAGGATGAAATACAGACTAGAAAATTTAAGAAAGATAAGGAATACCTGTCCTTTAGGTTGAGGTTTGAAGCTTCCTACAGGAAGGACAGCCTTCTTACCTCTAGAGACGTCTGACATGGAATAAGTCTCAGGAAATAACCTGTCAGGAGTCAATAAAGCTCAACCTCAAGAAATGGACAAAAGGTATCTGAAGAGGACTCCTCCAGCTCCAGCCCACCACCTTAACAAACACACTGAAAAAAAAAAAAAAAAAAAAAAAAAAAAAAAAAAAAAAAAACACAAAACCTTTTAAACAACCCCTAAGTAATTATAAGTCCCTTCAATAAATAAGTGCTAGATGGGATATTCTGCAAAATGTATTGGTGGCCATGGAGAGTGATAATACAAAACCTGCCAGAAGAGGTCAGGAAAAAGCAACCGTGTTGGGAAAGGTTCA